TTTATCGACCAAGTAAACTTTTTGCCTGACATTCTTTGATTTGTCAGGAGTTTGCTTGATGCGAAGCTACCAGATAAGAGATATATCGGTACAAAATGTTTGTCCGATAAATTAATCTTCGCGGTAAACAGCCTTTATGGAATGTTTATATTTGCACGAGGTGTTTTTTAATCTCTCAATCAGTGTGCATGAGGGGTATGGCGCGTTATTATATTTTTACTAACATGCTTGTACTATGCTAACCCGTGCCAGTCGTGTGGCCATTAAAACTCATGAAAAAGATTGATAGAACGATCCCAGCCGAAACGTCTACTTTTCTAATGTTGATTCAGCACACGAAATTTGGACAACTATAAAATGAAACTATAGCCAGGTTTGAAATCAAATCGAATAAAAGCCAACTGTAAATTAACGTATACTATAACATCACATAAGTTATATTCAGCAACGAAGTTGCTTTTTTCAGCAAAGAGACGAATGCTATGATACATAAATTCAGCAAAGAGACAAATGTTGTGATACGGGATACAGTCAGTGCGAATCACTGCATGCCTCAATAACAAAAGCAACTACAGTGAACTGCTGTATTAGACAAAACAACTAAACTAGATATAATATAGAGAGATTTTTTTACATGCACAGATGCACCAGGCATGAATTATTTTTGTCATAAGCCCTTACATAGTATGCAGAATGTAGCTAAAGAAATTCAGACGTTTTCGTTATAATATATACTGATTATAGCACAAGAGATCTTTCAATCGATGTCAATCGTAGAACAACACAGCATTCATGCATACATATTTATTCTAGCGCAAAGTAACACTTACCACTACGGCCGCTCTGCAGTATATCAAAGCACTCCCTTTCAACAGTTCGATACGTGGTTTAATAGTTTGCCGGTCTGCTAGACGTCGCCCAGCAAAGGCGATTAAACAAGCTAACAGTGAACTGAAATAACAGCGATGGAATATGCAATTTTTATTACAATATCACAAACAGGCCAGGTGATGTATCTGATATCAATATACAGTACTGAACGTCGGCTCTACGGTTTCATATTCACTTTAATTTTATAATCAATTTCATAAATGTGGAATAACTCCGCTTCTTTCCACGCAGTAGATTTTTCTCTGCAAGTTATGCTTGCATGATCCACGCATTACTTTTTTTTAAAACTATTTGAAGGTTATTTGACCCAAGTACGAAGCTTGGGAAATTCGAAGAGGCTCAATGACAATTACATTGTCATTTGACTCGAATAAAGTAATTTAGACTGACATGACTGCGTCACTATATAGACCGATTTCTATCATATGGCTTTCATTCAGAATCATTCGACAAAGGTCAGTCTCTTAAATTCAGTAGTCAAGTACCTAGACAACATAGATGAAGAGCTAATCAACAGAGTTGTATTTCTAAACCTCAAAAAGCCACTCGATACAGTCGACCGTTTCCTATACTCCTGGCTAAACCCATCACTGTGGAGTAAGAAATACTCCAGTTATGGTTTATAAATCTTAATTACACGAAAGTACCAAATGAGATGTGACCGAGTAACAGATATAATGCATGTATAGTGGCGTTCAACAAGGATCTACACTAGGCTCTTTGCTATAGTCATCTACTGATCAACGTCCTTCCTATATGTCTCCAGACACCTAATGCACCAGTCGATAATGATGAGACATTTATTGGTATTGTTTACTTACGCATATATACCAATGCGCAAATCTCACTATTATAGGTGATTTACAACGCGCTACGCGAATCTCAAATTATTATACGAACCGTTTTCGAGTAAAATTTTGAAAAATATTTTATTATATCCACATTTTGGTTGATATTTATTGTACAGAAGAACTATAGCTTGTATTTTAAAAGGTACAGCATCTATGCTAATTTTCCTGACTTCGTAATTAATTGAAATATCTTCATTTTATCCTCAAAATATCTTCATTTTGTTCGTCAGATATCCAGCTATTTTCACATTCATTTTTGAATCTGGTTTTCGGAATATGAATGGAAAAGTGAATATAAAACCGTATACCCGACAGCCAATACTGACGTTAGCATGATGCAGGCACGTTTCTCGAAGTGCATGCACCTGGTGTTTGTCAGTGTCTTATTAAGAGGTCTTCAATCGCCTTAGATCTGTCTTAGTTAATCTTCGCCGGTCTAGCCCTCCTAGTACCTGGCTTTCTCATTGGATTCTTTGTTGTACATATGTTAGGGGGGAATTTACAATATCTTTCCATTTCGTAGGACAGATGTTCTAAAATCCTATCATTTGGACAAGCTCTATCTGTCTACACTGTATATTGTTTTCCAGACAAGGGCCTGCGGAGAAGGCAAGTTGACTTAGTTGAGTAAAAGCTACCAACTATTTGACTATTTTCAGTGCTTAAGATTCAGTAAGCAACATTATATTTGGTATATATACAGAGCCGTATAGAAGACTATGTAAGTGTTAGTGAAAACTTAAACTTGGGTAGAACGTGTCATAGCAGGAAAACCGTGTTATCATGTACGAGAGTTTTATGTTGTGTTGCATGTGCCACATTTTTAAAAATTAAATTGGAATAAATATTTTTGCCCCTCTATATAACGGGGTAGTTACAACTTCTTCTCTCTGAATTTTGTGATGAGAATTTTATAATATAAGGTAGATTATCGTACCCATAACGACAGAATCGTTGCGAATTTCACAATAGAATTCTGTTCAACAATGAAATATAGAACCTGATTCAAAATCTTTTCGACCTTTGTCTTGTCACTTGAAATTTTGGCAGCTTGCCTGGCTTCCTCGATGCTTTAGAGTTCCACGAACTACCTACCCCCTTTATATACCTCGACACTTTAAAACGGCCTGTAACGTAGGCAACATTAATTCCCGCTTTTCTTCAGTATACAGATTTAATCCCTTGAGCCGCTTGTTACAAAAAGGTATAGTTAGCTTTAGCTCTAGTAGTGTCAATTGGCGAATCAGAACGCGAACTTTGGATTACCGACATATGTTATTAATACATTCTGATACGGTTTTGAATAAATTTTCGCCATGCCGTTTTTATCATGGTAAGGCTACTGCTTAACCTGTGAACAGTGGTTAAGTAGTTAAATTTAGCCTGCGTCAGAGGCTGGCGCAAAGGCGGTGGATCCTTAATTGACCTATTTTTTAGTTTCCCATGTTTTTTTAGTTTCTTAGTTCTTCATAGTTATATAATTTGTAAATTCAAAGCTCTCGAATAAGCTGAATTCAAAATAATTTTCATTTAACACACAAAATCTAGGGACGAAGTCATCTTTATAGAAGGATTGGAATCAACGAAAGTTTTATATGCCGTTGGAACATAATCACGAAACGTTTTTACTTTGTATCCAGTAACATGCTTGATAGCACTTGCAGGAGTCACGACAACGCATGATTTTTTAATTATATAACCATTTGAAACTAGAAGCTAGTGCATGGATGTCTGGTGATATATACTTAATATATATATAGTAAGTTTACAAAACTGTAAAGGAACTGTTTCTTTGGCTAAACGGTCCTCCAAAAAGCCGTGTTTTTTAAGACCTAAATTTGAAATGGGTTTTCGAAGTATAGCTATATAAAGCACTTATAGCACAGACCGGGCCTTGCACCGAAAATCTCGTTCACGGTTCCGATAAGCTTATTATATAGATACCCCGGCTTTAAGTCTAAGACCTCACCAAAGCCTGTTAGAACTAGTGAGTTAATCCTCTGACACATGCACGTAATTGTAGTGAACAGGTCATTTTCACCAATGCATGGAAGCTAGAGTAAGACGATGTAAGCTATCTATTTTTAACTATTTAAATCGCTCATTTTCAACTGAACACTAATGGAAATATTCTATTAGATATCAACCACCAATTTGAATTGTTCACGGGAATTATGACTAAATAGAAACAAGGATTTATACACAAAATATTGTTATTGTAAGCCCCTAAACACCTTACACGGCTTCGTCCTACGAAGCATTGTCATTATAATTGAGTTGATATAAGACCTTCTGCATATATAGTACATTAAATATAACTATATAGGTATATTCAATTGAACTGCGGAATAGTTAAATTAAGCTAATTATCTTGCAGCAAAGCAACATTCTTTACTGTATTGTCTGGTTAAGCTCAATACTAACTGCATGTTTCACATTTTGTTATGTCGCCTTTCGATTTTTTAAAAGCAACTGGTACATTTATTGGCGTCACGAGTCGTAAATACTAAAGAGATCGAGAGCCATAATAACGCCGGTTAACCGCCTGACAACCCACTACTCGAAGTCTAGAGACTCTGGATTAGGTTAATCTTCTATATTCGCAGCTGGCATTGTGCATACCGCGTATATGCCGCGTGTTTATGAGCTGCAAATTAGCTCAACTAAAAAAGATTTGGCCACACAGTTGGCAGGGTTAACGTCAGCGTCACCAACACTTAACATATCATCAGTCAAATGGTAAACACATTTAATACAATGAGTAAATTGCGAACTCTAAAGTCCTATATCACTGAATATACCACAGCATTAACATGTGTATGTCATATATAGTTAAATGAAAATATCATAAAATTCGTGTGTATTTTACTGATTTAGTTATGTACCCTATGTTGATATCAACTTCAAAGGTTGGCGAAAACACTGCTAACGAATTAATAAATAAAAAAATGAAAAATGCATCGGTGTTGAGAAATTTGATAAAAAAGAGATATATTCTATAAAACAAGGTTATACACTAAGAACGATCAGTGAGACTCCGTAAAATACTGAGAGATTCTGGTCTTTGGAAATGTTGTTTAAGATTGCGATGTGACTGAATTATGTAACTAATAAACACAATGATTGATGTCCATTCTGAGTTAACCGAACTCGAAATCGGTTCGTATTGGAACGGAATAGGGCACTTCTACTATGAAAACATCATCATAAAATAAATATCCATGCAGTTCACGTCAAAAGGTTATGTAACTGACTTACTTGACACTAATACCAACACAAGAAGGCAAGTTATGTAACTTCTACCGCTGTGATGTTATGACATTCTTGCGACTCGCCAAAGCCAAAGCCTAAGCCAAAGGTGAGCTTCTCTTATATAAGGAAAGCGTTACTTTTAGCACGATTCACAGGGCATTGCCGGGTAATCTGAATTCCAAGTGGTGATACCTTGCATGTGCATTTATTGCATTGTCGCCCACACCAAACTAGAAGAACTATGAGTATTTCGGGCTCGGATTGGCAGAGAAAAGGTCGGCCGGTTGAGTTCCGCAGCGAACATATAATAGCCTCGATAAATGTTCTCGATAAATCGTTGTGTATTTAGTTGAGTGTATTTAGTGAATACAACAAGCCACATAGAAAAAGTCGAACACGAATTATGACTTCAATGAATATGTGCGATTTCAGCTAATGACATTTACAGCGATTAGGCGGTTCAATGCCTATCGCCCTTTATATTCTTTTGTGCTTAAGAATGTTTATTTTTCTTTCGCGAACGCAACGATATTCGGTAATTTGTTTCACAATGGAAACTCGCCGACAGTTAATGATGCCTAAAATACATGATGCTCGATCATATGGCCCATTTTGTCTACATTTGGCAATGTATATTCGAAAGAATATATATAGCGTGCAAAAGAGGGAGTGGAAAATGTACATACTTATTAAGCTTTTTTGATATGATAAAATGTTTGCTTTATAATTTACATGCACATCTATGAATAAATTTATTATTCCAACAATACCAGCTTACTCGCGCGATTGAACCTATAGCATGGATATTTAATGTAAGCAGAAGATCGTAATTTGATAGAAATTTTACAATATATAGATCATAACAAGCTACCATGCATATATATTTCAAACGACTCATTAAAATTAATGGCTTTAGTTCAAATGTATATCACTTATATTGTGCTTACCAGAAACACTTATAATTGCCGTATGTCAGTACACACCGATAAACGATTAGGTAATAAACGTCATATAATTTTAGGCCTGGTACGTTTGCTGATTTGAATGTTAACTCTCTCAGTTATCTTACAGCCTATTTAGGTCAAACCCAGACTCTCGATCCTGCTTTAGGCCCCCGTTTACACTATGAACGTTTCTGTTATCAGCGGAATTTTGTATTGCTATACCGGTAATCTATCAGTTTTGAAGAATTTGTAGCAAATATTTGAATGAGATAAGTGTTAAAATTGCTAATCAGTGTTATATTTATCTCAGTTACATATATGTTGAGCAACTGCGAATCCTTCGAAACTTAGGATTTGCAGTTTAAAATTTCCAACTGTGATCACAGACTCTGACCGTATATAAACCGGGCATAACACGTACACACGCATTTCTGTACACCCACGTAAAAGTTCAAAACTTTCCGGCCAAAGAACAACGGAACCAAGTTAAGTTAAACCGATGCGTATGATAAATTTATGTTTCACACGTCTCGTTTGAATTGGCTTTTGGAATGTTACTTGTGTCAGGGTTAAAATCGTGACATTGGAAATTAAAAGGGATTGGATCACGACAGGTTTGTACGCGCATGCAAGCATGCATGTGTGTATATGCGTGGCGTTTCTATGCGTTATGGTACTTGACATACATAACTGTGGGCTATAAACGGACGTCGAATCGTGCTATTTTTAACCGATTTAAAAGAGAAGACCACTAAAACCACCAACGCTGGTTTACGCCCAATAGACAAGCTGGCCGATATAAACATTCTATCGGGGTGTGCAGCGTGAACTCATGCCCATTATAGTTGATTATACTTTTTTAAACTAACCTCTTGTAAAAGAACTTAAAAACCATCTTTATATTTAAAGAGATCTTTATTCTTCTAAAATGCCTTTCTTATATTAGATTTAATAATTACGCACACATGCACAAATAGAAACGCGCTTTCAGAAATGTTTCACTACAAAAACACGCCGTTTAGGTAAAAGTGTATTTTATAATAATTTGAATACGGATCGCATTTTTTTGCACGTTGGATAAACATTAAAATTTGTATAAGAAACGTTTTAGTGCAATTAATTAAATTGCACGCCCATATTCCGGTTTATATAGACGCCGAAGAAAGATTTCTTTTAGACGAAAGGGTTTAAAGCAAAGAAGCGTAATGTAGACAAATATATTATGGGAAAGCATATATTGATTTTAAGTGATGAAACTTGTATGAACAGAAACCTGGGAAATGACAACAGGATGCACCAAGTTTTATATTCATATATATCCATCAATACACTATTCATTTGTGGCAGTTGATTTAAGAAATACATCATTATAATGAGACTAGCGAAAACACAATAAAGGTTTATTGGCGACAAAAGACCACAAGCTATGCGTACAGATCGATAGATAGATAGATCGATACCTTCGCAGACTTTGTATTGTCTTCGGCTATGTAAAGTTAGTTGCATATCGCAGATCGTTATACTTTATTTGAGCATTCTCAGTTTTGACCTTTAACAACATTTAAAATTTCTATAGTTGACCCTGGACCTCAACTGCCCTTTGCAAAGTCGATTAGAATTATTTGTTTGTAAAAATTTAAATTTATTATACTGCTATAAGGAGCATGCGTGGTGGCTATAAGTGAAGTGCTAAGACGATCTACATGTTATATAATGCAAATTACCAGACCTTTCCCAGTAATAAGATAATCTAAATCGATAATTGAATTGATGCGGTGCGTTTCAAACGAAAAGAAATCATCATGGATGTGAAACGTTTGAAATTCAGCAAATAACATGATTAAATATTTCAAATAATGTAGCTATTTGACTAAACAAACTTTAAATTACACGGAATTTGTGTACCGGCAATAACTTTAAAGGCTGCCTTTAAAGGTCCCTACCTTTTTTCAGATTATATTGTCTTCTTATCAAGCTATTTCAACAATACATTTCATTGCTTTTGGTCAGTTGTTTCGTTAATGATCCTCGTTGATTGTTGCCTTGTAGGTTATGACTGCGAACGCCAGGATTTCTATACACATGTATAACATTGGTTGAATATTATTGCAGTAAGAGGGATTCGCATATGCTGACGAGTGTGAGAAAACCACGAAACAAAAATGAACAACTGTATCATAAAACGTGAATAGATATTACAGTTTATACGCCAATACATACTTGAATTGTAGATCATACTGGTCGGCGTATGTGCGGTGAAACAAGTGTTGTCCAGGTTAGACAATTGGTGGATACGTTTGAGCAAACACTATCGTTTAGGTATCAGTATATAAAGAAATAATCGATCAACATCTCAATTTAAATTCAGTCTCATACTGGGCGATTATGCCATTATTCTTTGTGTTTTTCCTTTACAAAAGATGTCTGCATTTCCCTACATTGTATCAAAAGGATTCTCTTGAGCACGGTACCAAAATTTATTCGATTCCTCGCGGTTATCTAATGACTTAGTTATTACTGCAAAAGTCTATTATATACGAAAGGCCACAACGTCGAAAATAAACGCCCAAAATTTGTGTGATATACTTCGGTTTACAAAGAATTGTTTACAACTGAATTACGAATAATTGCTTTTCCTTTGCATGCATTAATTTGCTTGTCGCACCATTTGAATGTTTTAAATTAAATATACATGAGGAAACCTACTGACTTTTTCCGTTTTTTTATTGATTTTTGAGCTAGTGTGAATGTAGCAGACTTTAAATTTATATACGACTGAATTTATGCATGTTTATTTCCGCTGTTTTAAGTTTGATTTGGTTGCCGGTGTGGGATTTTAAATTCCATTCCAAATAAAAAAAATGGTAAATAAATAATGAATAACAAAATAAATAAACAAATAAAGAAACTGACTATATTCATACCCATGACGTTCAGCATGACGAATATTTATCGTCCATGTATGTGCAAATAGTCTATATCGCGTTACAAGCGAGGATACCCAATACAAACTCGTCCAAAATAAGCGCTTTTTCTGTTCGTGTGCCTTTTAGTAACTGAAGCTGTCTTTCACTTGCACACGGGTTACTAAATTTAGATCTATGCCGCACATTCTTTATTGTTTTTGGCTTTTTGGTAAAGATTCGTCGTATCCCGGAGTCGGACTTTGGGGGTTGAATATTGGAGGCTATACAGCTAATACAGGTCCCAAAAAAGTCCCCCCCCCCCTATTGAAATGAAGCTTTTGTTGGAATTTGAAAACATGATCAACGCAGTAGTGTGTACGCGAAGAAAAGGGAAATATTCCCCATCTTTGCCATAGGGTGATTCATCAAAATGCGAATCGTATCCTTTAAAATGGATACGACTACATTAATTTTTTATCGACCTCTTTAATCTCAACCTCGTAGAGGGTATTGTCTTAGGCCTCCCGTTTAAATGATTTTTTTCCACACCGTACCGCAAATTCGTCGACAAAACGTTGAGGTTTGCATAATGTGCGCTTTGGTTAAGACGCCATATTGTTTTTACAAGGCGCGCATTTTGTAACAGAAAAACACTGGACACGAGTTTGAGCAAATGTTTATCTCAATAGGGAAAGAGTTTGATCACATTTATATCATCCGTATTATTACCTTTCCTGCAATCTATCAAGATATATTATTAGTATTTTGCTGGTAAGTGCAAAATTTGCATGTATTAAAATTCGGAAATCTGGCAATGCGGAAACGTCCCCTCCCTAATTTCGTATATCATAGAACAAAAATTAGTCTATGAAACAAAATTTCATTCGAAGAATGTGTGCAAAATAATAAAATACTGGCTTTTAATTTTGGCGCAGACTTGCCGATGCCATGCAAATATTATTTAGATTTAAACTAAAGCTAGGTAATACTACATCGGATTAATCCGATGAGCAGGGCGCTTTATAAGCGCCCTGCCGATGAGTATGGAAGTTAAGTTTTAATATATAGCGACACATTCAAGACTGCAAGCATGGAGCAACGAAATAAAAGGTTAAAGCCCCGTTTACACGATACTCAATTTATTGGCACGGCACGGCTAAAATGGGTACCCGTGCCCATTTAATTTGTGCTCGGCCTTTGTTTTGGTAACCTGAACACTAATAAAATTGGGTAAGGGAACCAATTTTATCCGTGCCGTTCCAATAAATTGAGTGTAGTGTAAACGAGGCTTAAGATAAGTGTTACCGCATGTATGCTATTAAAGGCATGCATGAAGGTCGAGGGGCTGCATGGGTTAACAGATATAATGGGCGAATAGTTGCGGTTAATAAAGGTTAAACCAGACTGCATACCAAAGATTCCTTCTCGTTTGTGTTTCTCAATACAATAGGCCTGCTATCGTAAAGAATTAATTATCTCCTTTGCATGCCCAGAATAACAGCTACAAATGTCTGGCATTCGTTTAGGATTTTGACAGTGATGAGAAACAAACGACTTTTTTCAACGATGTTTTTTTGCCCAGGGGTTTAGTGAAATTATATCAGAAGTACATGGTTGATGTTATTTTCATAAACCGTTAGATATAACCACAGTTTAAAGTCAGCCGTTTGACGTAAGAATAAAGGAATGGATGACATAGTTATAGACACCGCTCAGAAAAAAAGTCAGTTACATTTAAAATTCCTACCATAAAAACGCTTACCGAATTGCAAATTTTGATATAAATTTTTTCAAGGTGTGAACGAAAAGTAAAAAAGTCATGACGCTTTTATATCATACACTTATAGAATGCTCCCGAGGGAAATTGTCTATTATAGATCATGTATATATAAGACGAACTTGCACCGATCATGAATTTAACAGAATATCGATGTCACATGCAAGAAATGTCTACTAAATACCGTATCAATACATAAATACCGTGTGCACCTCAGGGTGCACCTATAGACCTTTACGTATATTAAGTACAAGGTGTGATGTGCATACAACACACGTTATGGTGCATGTTTTTTTACCACTGCGCGTTTTTTACCACTGCGACACACCATAGTTATATTAATACATCATCTTTTTTAGTGTATGTGACTATTGAGATATTATAGAAACACATATCGATTGCATCTTTCGAATTCTAGAAACATCTTTTAATATTGTAAATTTTATACATTTATATGCACAGAGTTCTATTATTTACAGAATAAATACATCATCAACATATACTGAGCTAAAATTTGAATATAATAATTAAATTCTGTAATAAATAGTATTTCGAAACTATCGAGGATAATTTACAATTTAAATACTTGATGCTATATAGCAATTTGTATATCTGCACACAATGTTTTAGACAACGGTGAATGTATTTTATCTTGCCTTGCTACTGTATGAGCTAAATTCATTTTGCATTACCAGGGTTCTATCAACAGCGCATTTGGGGCCGGTGGTATAAAAAGACAGTTGACTTTTAACTATGGATAGTGGCTGGATTGGCCAATCAGAATCGTGTATTATGGAACTAACCACGATTTATCTTCCCAAAGCTCATTTAAGAATTTATACAACTGGCCCTGATATTTTAGACATGATCTGATCTATGAACACTATATGTTCACACAACTATCACCTTTTTCACCTGATACAAACCCTATAATTTAAATGTTCAGGGCAATGATGTATCTTTCACGAATACACATATCACACCGGAAAGTTCAGGAAAAGAAAGTGGACTATGATGGATTACAAGTCAAAAGTTTTGATATGACAAAAACCGTAAAATGTTCATGCTCAAAAGTCTCATTCCAATAATTATCATCTTGAAGTATTGTTACAGTAATCATGCGCAAGAGAGCGTGGATATAGAGAAATTTGTAGAATACGACAAAGGGATCTTTGAAAGATGCTCTACTCTTCATGCGCCAGTTTGATTGGTCACACATAGTGGGAATTCCATTCTCTCCCCAAATGCCTAATTTGGCACCACTTCCTAATTGAAATACGTATTGTAAAGATCCTTTAATAGAGACCGTCATAAACAAACCCAGAACGATTGACGTTGTGATGCTAATTAGGCAGCCCAACACTGTATCGATGAACATTCCACTGAACCACGGGGATAATTTCATCGACAATGAACTACAAGCAATGATCTCTCTGCTTATTTATTTCCAATAGTTCTTGATCATCTTCGTCGCCGTGCTCATCACTGTCTAGTTCGTCGTCAGCCTCACGACTCCGACTGCTACTCTTGCTGCTTTGTAGTCGAGCAGATTCCATGGAAAAGAGGTTGGGCGCTTTTGTCTTCACCTCATCTAAAGATTAATGATCAATTGAATTTCCAGCAAGTTCTTTGAATAAACAACAATTGAGTTTGTGGTACTATCGTATATCAAGACCTTTTCCCTACACGGATTTCCTGAAATGCGTGTGGTTGGTTCAGCCTAGCACTTTGGCGCTGTAAAATGACGTAACGTCATCTTTATGACGTAATATTTATATATACAACAGAAATCAAGGAATAAAAATCAAGTCAAGATTTATTTCAGACCAACTGGATTAAACACACTATACGAGTAAAAACAGTACCAATTTAAAATTGGTACCTCATATTCATTTGTTGGACCAATTTTTCATCTGTTAAATAAAACTTAATTGGTTAGAGCAACCAATTGATTAGAAAGAGATAATCTCTTAAGACATACCCTTAGAATTGCTTAAATCGATCGCCAAATTTCGATGCTCCTGCCAGCTCACCCGTTTTTCTTGTATCCTCTCGTGTTTCCTAAACGGCAGTTGGTCCTTCTCCATTTTATCACTATCAGTACTAAAACTTTTATGCGGTTCCGATTTCGTTTCCGATATATGAGAGTTATACCAATTTCGGTTCTCTTCTAAAGTATCTAAGATTTCCTGAGCATCAGGATAGGTTAGCTCAGCCCACGTTTCCCACAATGGCTGGGCAACAAAATCAATAAAAACGACCTAAAATTGAAATCATATTGGGTACATTAAAGAGAAGGAAAATAAACATTACGGTTGCGTTGTGTATAAGCAACCTTCCAAATGATTTGGAAAATGTATTTGGTCAGATGTCAAATCTTTTTTTTTTGTGACTATACACATGATAATTATCATGTATATGATTTTCACAACTCGTTAAAACAATATTGTAAAAAATCTTATAGTGCTGTAAAGTATGTCATTAATAGTTTAAATGTACAGTTTGTTACAACAATTTTGACTACCGTTTACATGAGGCCACACACCCTAGACAGTATGGCCTAGGTTAAGCCTCGCGAATGCTTAAAATATGATTTTACAATGTTTAACAATGTTTTGCCGGCTCTTTTTTTTGAAAAAAAATTCCATCGTTATTAGGCTGCAAGGAATTCTGAATAAATAACTAATTTCAATAAAGAATAAAAGTTATTTCGAAAAAAGAAAGATAATATTTAAAACGCATCAAACTTTTAATTAAAACTTTATATTTCGAATCGATTCTGATTCATCTTCAGAAACTATACGTATAAGAATAGGCATTCGTACCTGTGATTTTTCAACAGAAGCATTATAGCGATCCATCATGGGACTGACATCCATTCCCTCTATACTTCTCTCCCTATCACCCTACACAAAGAGGAAATTTTGAGATTCGAGAGAAATTCGAGATAGCGATTCGAAATATGGCGATTATTGCTCTGCTATATTGATTTCTTGAGACGTTCTCTGGTTGAAAATATTTATTGTTTACGAGCTTTCGGCTGCCAGACTGCAGCCTTCAATGGGTAGATATAAAATACAATGACTATAAAGACGATATGGTTTACAATTACAAACCATACGCCTACGCTTATCTATATAGTTATAGTGACAAAGAGATAATTAACTGGGACAGTTCCACGAGGTTATAAAAAATGTTCTATTTTTTCAACAAGAAGCGATATTGTTCAGGTAGATGTTTTGAGTTGTTATCAGCGTTAGTAGTGAGAGCGGTGTGCCAGGATTCCAATATTTTTCTGTGGCGGTAGCTTGCTTAGTTAATTATTTTGCTGTTTTTGAAATCAATTATATGGTCATAGGACGTGCTCTATACTATAGTCTAATAACAGCTAATACATTGTAAACTTGTTTTAGCTTTTTTTAATCCGAGTATAAAAGCAAGTTTTGGTGCACATCTGGCCCCTGCACACCTTGCAGAACAATACGTATATTACTATAGCAGGAGGGCATAGATCAAATTTGTGGTTTAATGAATACCTGTTGAAAAAATTCCTCCATCAATCGATCCACCCATTCTTTGTATAGGGGTAAACGTTTTGTTGGATTACTAAGGTCAGCACAATGCACCAAGCAACGCAAGACCTAGAAACCAAAAAACCCATTGTAATTAGAGTAACGTAATCAGATCTAGAAATTGGACTCAATCACCATCAGAACGATATCTTAAAAGACCTAAAACAAAGCACTCCTAAAACAGTAAAGAATTTGAAATATGGTTATACATTATTAAAATAGTTCGCGTTTCTAACCCAAGGTGACCATGCATATTTGCAAATTTTATAGCCAAATCTGGCTATAATATCAAAACCGGTTATAGACTGCATGCATGTCCTCTCCTGGTCGCAATGTGGTAATTATTAAAATCAAGTATATGTGCGTCCAATTAACCTGTTTCCAACTGCTTGAAAACCAATTTGTTTAAAACAAATTTGACCAGAATTTGACTTGCCGCTGACATGTTAAAGCCCAGTGTATATAACATAGCTAACACCTTATAAATATTTATACCTATGGCTGAAAGCAGTCTTTTTCAGGCTCCGTGCAATATGGTTAGATGCATGGAGTCGGGCATGCAACGTACATCGGCAAGCGGAATTCATTGAACACATGCATTTTGTTTCACCGATTTTTGACCGAGAGCACGCGAGCCTAACAGGAGAAATCAACTTACTAAATGGTCACGAGTCAAATTTTGCTGTGCTCATAGATCTGCATAGTGTGCTATAACATAGCTTAAGTAAAAAGATGTACCCTAACCTGAATGCGGTCGGCATAGTTATCTAAACTAAATTTTGACGCCGACAGTTTCTTTGTTTCGACCATGGTCTTTAAAGACGCCAGTAAACTCATGTGTTTCGCATTATCCGTAGCAAGAACCTAAAAAGAGCGTAGATATGAATGCGATAAATTAACTTGAAAACACCTATATAGACCCGCCCATGTCACCGTCTGATACTGATCAGGAATGGCTAAATAGCGAAAAATTACCATTTCAATAACATTCTTTCGTAGAGTCTGTCTCTCTTTCTTGTTCATATTTTCAAAGATATCACAGCCCTCGTGCTGCAACAGTTGAAAGGCCACAGCGAGATGATGGTTTTCAAGCACTGATTCGTCGTTATACATCAATGCCAGTCTTGAATCTGTTTACAAAACACAAAAAGGGATGTAAAAAACAAGATTCAGGTTGCATGCACGTGCTACATGCACAGAAGCATCCATGCCCACGGTAAAAATGGTAATCTTATTTGCCTATATTCTAAAACTATACAACTCAGAACAAACGGAATATAATTATTTTAACATAGCAGGTCCAGTCACACTCGCCTTATATCCGCGACTATAGTCACATTTACTCTTTTTATTACAAATCAAAGAGTAATCTCACTCTGTGCCTTTCATACGTTTCTGATTAAATAAGTGCTAAATACGAGCGGCCGATCTGATTGTGTATGCAACAAAGTTATGAATACATTAGTTGTATCAAAGTTAATATAAATCATATGAATTACTAATTCAAAAGACATTTATGGAGAATATACAGATGTATACATGTGACCAAAATACTGCGCAATGATTGCAATTTAGAAGTCATTAATTATCCATAGTTTCGCAATAACATATAAATGTCAACCTCACTGAAATAATCACTAAATATTAAAAATACAGATAGTTCTAGCTCGATGAAGGTAAATATCCTGAGCAGATAATATAAAAGCGTGCTATTTTTTTATAGCTACCACTCGAAAAAACTCGCATGTTGGTACCCAGCGTACAATACCCGTATATACCGTGCTGGAACTATACCACCCCATTCGGATATCTGCATGTGATTCTTAACCTTCTAAAATAAACGCAGACTTCCCCTCACATGGCTTGGAAATCATGTCCAAACTTACTTGTGGCAACGAGAAAATGATTGTTTAGTCCGGGATGGTCAACATCGTGAACCGCAGCTGCGAACAAAGCAGCCAAAATCTCCAAATCAGTAAAAACGGACTGAAATTTAAAAAAAAAAAACATAAGCCAATTTAAAAAAAAACATAGCCAATGTTATATAGTTCGATGCTTTTTATTACATGTTATGGCATACAACTTAAATTGACGTTAGTCTACATTTCGCTAAAGCTCTTTCACTATTTGAGTCAATTTCTATAATACACCATAAACGCCCACTAAGATTTGAATTCAGAGTTTGTATTGCTGATGATTTTTACACAAACATTTTCTGTAAGACTTTTGGTTGCCTATTCTTTGACGGGTTTTGTCTATACATATCATGTACTTGCTCTTCAACAAGAAATTTTAATATTTTCATTTAAAAAAGTATATTTACCGAAACAAAAACGAAATAATGACGAGCATACTTATTTATTGAATCGTCAATACTCGGAAACTTCCAATTATATAATATCGTTGATATCGGAATTGAGCGACAAGAAGTATGTTGCTTACGGCAAACGTGACATTTCATGTACACTAGAAAAAATATTTCCTTTCTGCTGGACCGTTCAATTTCGATTCTACGAAGGTACTTTAAGGTCATTAGGCACCTCCTTGGCGATACTAATGACTTTATATAAGCAACTCCCGATTGCCGGATTTAGTTTGCCGTTTAATGTGTTTCAGGAGGTGTCACATTAAGATATACATGCATGTATAGACACGTTTTCTCCTAGACTGTAAAAGGTTCCTTTTTGCTTTCTAGACTGTAAAAGGAAACCTATACGGGTTTCCAATTGCTGAGAAAACTAGTCATTATATTTGCTCACCGATATAGATACTTGTAGAATATTTACCTCAAAAACACTCGAGGACAGAAGAACATGTGCTGACTGAACTACATCAGCTGAATGTGTGCTGTTATGAAATGGGACGTCTTTGAAATAATGATTCTAAAGGATAAAATATCAATGCAATTTAAATATATACTTATTGAAAAACTTGGAATTCTTTCATACATGCATATTATAAACAACATTAATATTTTCCAGGTGCTGTGTATTTTAAATGTGACTGGCTCATTCGTAGTCACATGACTTTAAATAAATGCAATCTTTCCCGCCAGAGAAACAAGTGAAAAATTGTTGCCCGCATGTTGTCATAACAAAGTAAAGTGTTTTTTTTTTAATGAAATTGTTGCGTAACATGATTGAATGTTTTTGTTCTTATATAACAAAGCACTTAAAGTACACTACCTCGGGAAATAGTGAGTTTTGTTTTCCCTCGAGTCTGAATGTTTCCCTTGACTTCGTCTCGGGAAATATTCAGACCGCTCTTGGGAAAACAAAACTCACTATTTCATTCGAGAGCATACATTAAGTGTATAATATTTAAATATTTGTTATAAATTTTCAACATTAGCATATGAACTGACATTCTACGCAGGGGCGCCGGAATGACGGGAGCGAGCGGGGGCAGCCTGTGCCCTTTGCTACCATATAAAAGTGTCATAAATTCAACATTTAATCATGATGCCTACTTTTTGCATAAAAACTACCCAGGAAATATTATTGAAAATGAGTTCTCCCGTGGATTTTCAAGTTCGCATGTACTTGTAAACTTGAGCTTCCTTTTCGTGTGGTTGCTAAGGTAAAATGAATGTGCCCTTTTCTAAAACTCTGCCCCCGCCGCCCTAAACTGCTTCCGCGCGCCCCTGATCCTACGTTTAATTTTAACTACTAATAGGTAGTAAAGTATAAAGTAATATAGGTAACTTTTTAATTATAGGTTTGGAGAATATGAATAAAAGAACATTGATCGTAAAATCCTGTAATCTGTAATCCTGTAAGTTCATGTACAAACCTCGATTAATGTAATATAATTGATAAACGTCATTGGCTTTATTTTGAATATTCTCATTAGATCTCGGGCCTAAAATCGACAAAAATAAACACACCACACGAAGTTAACTTTGATCCATTACTTTACAATGAATTTCTAACAGAAGCAATTATTAACAACAACCAAATAAGAAAGAAATAACTTAGTTGTGAAGTACATGCATACAACATTTGAGGTCATTGTCCACAAACATGCCCGCACTCACCTGTAATATTGTGTAACTGACAGCAGCCAAAGGTCGTTCGTTTGTAATATTATGAAGTTTAAAAACATCGAAGTCCCATTTATGCACAGATTCGAGATGCTTAAAAGAGTAATGTTAATTTAATCAGCTATGACTATGTATATCAGTAATTTTTTTGAAAAGAGGACTGTACATTTCCATCAATAGTTTAATTTTATTCCCGTACGCTTTAGAGGCTTTGCGTAGCTGGGACCCGCCCATTTACCCTCCTTCCCTCGGGTCGCATGCATTCCGGCCAGCTGGCTAACGGGGTTCATCAAATTATTCAACTATTTGAAAAACTCCTAACTTCCGGTTTCGAATTGTCCAATCATATGCGTCTACTTATTTCATTAACCAATAGGATTAGATAGTGGTCAATTCCAGACCGGAAGTTACGAGTTTTTCAAAGGTTCGGAACGCTTCTATTGCCACGACTGTAAAACTAAAAAAACAAGACGCTTGTGCTGGCGTTAACTTCGGCGGCCGCGCACGTGCCAGTCTTCAATATTAAGCTTCTGAACATAAACAATACAGTTCATACTCATTTAGATGCTTTGTGAACCTAAAATCTAATTTTTGTTCGATCGGAAGCACATCGTACTTTAAAAAGTATAGAAGTTCAATTGTTTAAAAATGTAAATAAACCCCATGATACGTTCACTTTGTCTTACACTTTGGAATTCGCGCTTATATTAGTTACATCTTCAATCCTGTGCAAACTGTGACGTGTCAACGCGCCCATACATGACCACATCTTGTTAAAGGGCAAAATAGCAGCGATATTATTAAAATAGGACCAGAATCTATACATACGATCTATACATACGGTCAAATACACTTTTCAAATACTAGTATATTTCGCGCTAAAACACACTTGGAACGACGAAAAATAATAAAAAAAAACAAAAAAACAACAAACAAAACCTACGCGAATTTTTAACTCCGTCGCTGACGCCGGAGTAATTAAAGGGAATGGATCTTCAAGTGCATAACGATTTTAATCAAAAAGGCGTTTTTGATTTTTATCAAAAAGGTTTTAATCAAAACACACTTGCGACGATGGAAAATAACAAAAAAAAACAAAAAAAAACAACAAACAAAACCTAGGCGAATTTTCAACTCCGTCGCTGACGCCGGAGTATAATTAACGCGAATAGATCTTCAAGTGCATAATGATTTTAATCATGCAAAAAGGTGTTTGACACTTTGCCCATATATAAGTAGCTATATAATGTTTTCTGTATGCAAATTACCTTTGCAAGTTCACACTCGTCTTTTACTTCGACTCCAAATCTACAAATAACGCGGAGTGTTAGGCTTGATATTTTACCTTCAATAAAAAACGTCTGCGTGAAAAAATTAAAATTCATCTGATATCTTTCTATTCATTTTGATAAATAATTTATGTACTTAATTTCTGTCCAACAAACGAACGTTATGCAACAGAACTTCTTATCACCAATGTAGCTATACAATATTCGAAAGCTCTTTCGGAGCAAGTCAATTTTTCTAAATCCCTCACCTTGGTATAGTTCCTGAAAAGCTGCTTATTCGCTTTAATTTCCCAACGCTACTAACTAACGATTTTGAACGGGCCCGAATACTTGAAGATGGGTCAATGCCAGCATGCTTGTCTGAAAAATGAAATGATGGATTTAGTTTCGGGACAGACGTGACGTGTATATTCATATACAACTAAATTAATAAAAAACTTGGAAAAATTGGTTTTCCAATGTTCTAGAGTTTAAAAACGTTCACTGAGTGGGAGTAAAGCTGAATAATAAGTTGTTTTCCCACAAACATTTTCGTAGCACGCCTCCAGCACTAAAGTCTGTTCATAAATTATAGCAAAAGGCGTAAGCAAAAATTACGAGAATACCAGCTATAGGAATAAACTCACAAAAACTTTCTTTTAACTCAAGTAAAGACCAACAAATTTTCTTAAAATTTTCGTTTATTTTTGGGCACTTCTCTCGCGCTTTCGCGTGACGTGTCACGCGGAGTTTTTACGATACATTATGCATTAAAGTACGGAAATAAACGCACGATAACCGAAATGACTTTCGTGGGATGTTGCGATTCGCATGATAGCAATACGCCTCAATTCCACACTTGTTTGCCAATCTACTACATCACAACGGATTCAAATACTTACCTACAAAAGTGTTATAGACCCACATTGACAGTTCCTTAGATTGCGTTGCTTCTGAGAAGTCTTTTAGTTCCCGATTTAATAGCCTTTTAAACTGTATAAAGGTGATAAAAAATATTGTATAAAGACGTATTTTCACCGTTGTATGCAGTAGATGTTGTCAGTCGATCTTCAAACGCGATAGAATTATATTTAATGTTTGCATTCAAATATTGAACAATAATCGAATGAGGTGGAATAGATCGAATAATATATTGGGATTCATCAACACTACCAAATAAATTTCTATGATACAAAAACATAAATTTTAATAGATTTTTGTATGTTTGCATGCATGGTGACATCAATAAGCAAATTAGCTTGTAGGTACACCACGTAAGTATTTAATATTTCAAAGCTTTCAGTCCGTTAACCCGCGGGCCTTCATCAGTGCAAATGATAAAAAAAATTCATCAAATCAATTGGACTGATGAAGGCCCAGGTTAACGGACTGTAACTGCGTAAGCTTTGCAGTATAAAATACTTACGTGGTGTGCGACACCGCAGAAATTGGTGTTTAAGACGTTTCAACCCGAAAATCTAATCGCTGGTTCACAATTGTGCATTTCTGTATCGCCCTATCAAAGAGAAACCTTTTGAATATCTTAAAAAAGTTCAATTTTTCTTCTGAATACGCATTCTGCAATCTTTTGACAGCTCATCATACTCATCTGACCGCTGTGAAATGGCCATTTTGAGGCTTAAAGTATACACAAGGTTATTAATTCAGACGATTCGTTTTTACCGTGAGCAAGCTTCAAATCTTTTGTGCAAGACATATTTTCTTGAATATTTATAAATCTTTTTCCTCACCAAGTTTGAAGTCTAAGTATCGAAAATTGCGGCTAAGCCTATACCAATTTCCGCGGTGTCGTGGTGTGCCTATGCAAAATGTACAAACGAAACCGACATGCAAACTTCAAAATTTGGGCCAAACAGTGAAAATAAATCGGTGAAACACTCAGACAACGGCAGAATTATATTTTCTTTGAACAAATATACTTTGCAGTTGTATATGGGATAAAATAAATGGGAAAATCAACTAGAACAATCAGTAATTATTTTATCAACAATTGCATCCATCGAATAAATGTTTAATTGGAGAAATTTTGCTTTAGTATCTCTTTCTGCATGTTCGACGATAAAAGGAGCAAACGTCATGACCTGTGGTTATACGTGAACATTCGAATAACTAAAAACACCCAATGGTAGTGCAAACTCACCAAGCACGCCTATACATATATAATATATACATTGAGTCTTTATATATAAAGATGCGTTTTATGATCACGTATAGGAATGATTTCGAAGCAAATTTGAAATGTTAATATATCCACATGTGCATGAGCACGTAACTTTTTCTCAATTGCATATATAGATAAATAGACGAGCAAGCTTTCTTTACAATAGCTTGCTTTCATTCTCGTACTTATAAGTAAGCAAGTTTTTTAAATTCCTAGCAAATTTTGCGGGTTCAAAAGTTTGTTGCTTCAGCGCAATTTTATCCAAGCGTCCTAAATTTCTCAATGCATGCAATGTCACTTGAATGCCCAGTGTCAAACTGCTATAATTTCAAGTCATTTTTACGTTTACTGCTGTACGTCCACGATATATCGAGTTCATTCGTGGAAGAGCAAACACGGCGTGCTTTTAGTCAACAATGATGCCCCTTGACAAGGAAAACTTGTCATTTCCACATACACACGATGCAACAAATGGAACTTGCTCGTCTTTGCGTCTTTTAGAAAAAAAGCGGAACCGCGATGATGCACGAAAGGAAAAAAAGATATGTCCTACCTTATTCGACGCCAATTCGCTTACACTACAATGTGTTTCTAATGTCTCCAACTGATTAAGTACCCAGTCCAGCTCATCCAGAGTGTCCGTAACAAGCTGGGAAGACAAAGTGAAATTCATATTACTATTATTACTACGCCTAATAAATCAGCCACGAATCAGCCTCTAAAAACCTGGAAAGGGTATAGTTGTAGGTATAGCCCGTTTAGCCTCGTGTATTGCTGTATGTACGCGCTTATTACCGCGAAATGCCGATGACAAGGACCAACGATAGATTAGGAAAATCTTGCGTAGGAGCAGATCTATCTGAGATTTAGGCTCCGCAAGACGTGACATGGTGATTAGCTTGCGCGCATATATTTGTAAATTTTGACGCCCTTAAACGCACTCCTACTTCAACACTAGCAAAAAGGGAATTGGGTGATTTAAGAGAGCTGTTTCCAACTGGAGGTTTACATCTTCATTTATATAGGAATTCTTTCCTGCTGAACTTACCCGATTATGACCTTCACCCTGTTGATTAGATGACGCTACATAAATGGAAAGACGTGATTAAATTTATTGAATGAGGCTGACTAATATTAAAACGTATTCGAAGCGTGGAAAACACTAGATAAGTAATTTAAATAGGAAATAGATAGGAAGATCTATATCGAGCACTCCACGTAGGGTCTTTCACGTATTCGTCTACGTACTTTTTCTAGATCTTAATTTTCCATCGTTTAAAACTATGTAGAGAACTGCGCCAGATGTAACCCACTATTCATGTATACAGTGTAGCTGCCCTGCATATTCTATTATAGGCATTTCAGCTTCTTTAAATATGTATAGAAATTATACGTTTATATTAAATGAAACCCTACCAGCTGCTACGCCATTGACTTCGTATGAACTTCTTCTACCGAGACTTTGTTTGCAACTAAAAAGTCGTTTAAAGGGTTAAAATAAACTGGGTTTAAAGGGTTTTACGTTAGAAATATTCGAGAATAGGGAAGCATGCATAAGCAGAAACAATTTGAAAAGCATTCAGAAATTAGACGAGCACCTAGCTATAAAAATGAACGTGTAGGAAAACATTAATCTATATACTGTCCGTGGAACATTTGAAAAAATTGAAATGCCATTTTGTTTTGGCCAAGTTCAATCACTGGCGTTGGTTGTACGAAGGCCGTATAACGCTCTTTACCGGATATTGGGTTTTTCAATCTTTCTAAAAATCACTATCCAGTGAATAGCGCTATAGCCTTCGTAAAACCGGCCACTGCGCTGTGCATGCATATATATAGCGCATTAATAGAAACAGATGTTAAAAAAACACGAGCCCGCATGCAACACCTTGTATAATTAGTTTTTCGAAACTATCACAACTTACACTCCTTCGAGCTTCTTTACTTGAGCTATAGTCATAAAATTGGTTCGGATATTCCTCAGACTCGAAATTATCTGAAAAAGAGGAGAATATACATCAAATTATCGCCATAATTATTCAAAGAAGTTCATGCTGCCGCGTGTATGACTTTGCGAACTGAAGTATATATGATTTGCTCATATATTTCATTTCATTCATCCATTAGACAGTATGATCATATTGATTGAAACGTGCAATTCAATGTATATGAGGTTTGAAAAGTTCCTATTTTCTTTGTTGTGCAATACACGTAGGTATACGGTGCATGTCATATAGTACTTACTTGGGCAAACGGTGTGACAAGTTCCTCAGCTCTGGTCCTATATATGGAATTACGATAAGTAAACAAAAGGCAAGCACAATCAAAACCAGAAAAATTTTATGCTGCATGCATTTTCGCAGCATTGCGTATATTGAATTACGTACTAGCCGGTGATAATAATTCTTATTAATATAAGTCTAAAAGAAAAACAATTCAATATGCCAACGCGGGTGCATTGTAAAACATGCGTGTATGACTCCGTTGAATTATTACTGTGACGGTTCTAGCCAGTAACCAACTTAAAAAGACGAACAATTACCGTGATCACGTTGGGAATCAAACCCTCGACCTCTAGTTTATTGGGTCGGTACGTGAACTATATGAACAAACTTTGCTATTGGTTGATGATAACAATGAAACACAATGAACTATAAAAATTGATTTTAAAAAGAACGAATCATAAACACTGTTCATTGCACTATTGTTACAAAAAGCCAATCACAAACTAAACTCGTTCAGATTAGGTAGATACTTAGTGGGTTTATTTGGAGTAAATAACATAGTTTGATGACGGTCAATTTTGCTCGACGGTTGAATGCAGGGCGAAATTGAACATGGGTTAAGGAGTTAAGGGATTAAGGAGTACAACTATTTCATTGATTGTAATATATAATACAATTAATGATTTTGTAAACAAAATGGCAGAAAGCTATTTTCAACCAAACTATAAACACACCTGTAGGAAAATAAAAAAGACCTGGGGCCAGTTGTATAAAAGAGTTAACTATATAGTTAAGAGAAAAATTGGCCAATCAGAGTCGTGTATTTGAATAAAAGTGTGGCAGGACTTTGCATGTGTTGACAAGAACCTATTATGTACACTTCCATTAAAAATGTCCCATCGATCGAGATCTCGATATAAAGTGTTTTGATTTTATCATGCTAGTAATAATAAGCTTATATTCGCCCGGTCTAATTTTGAAAACAAACAAACCTCACTCTGACTGTTATTCCTAAATCGCCATCGCAGAGTCAAGATGTGATTCAAACAAGACACAGGTCGAGACTGTAAACTTTCGACTTTATTCAGTTCAAAGTCATCTTCGACTGAAGACGAATGTTGAAAATTTACAGTCTCAACCATGCAGCGCCTTTGAATATTGACTCTCGAGATGTCTAGTCTTTTCAGAATTTGTTTTTTACTTTACTTTTTTATCCCTTTGTGAAAATATTTCTTTCGTATTCACCGAAATTATGCCCTTAGCTTCGGATTACATGCTGTAATTCTTCCTATATAGCATCGCAAAAACTTACCCTTCACTAAATGAGGCATGCCTTGGTGACATGCATCGCGGTGACACTTCACCCTCGCTATCCGACTTGTATAAAAACGATTCCCTCCGCTGCCCGGATGGGACAGCAAGCCTCTCACACTCAGTTCGATCGGAAGAACTTTCCCGTGAATTCTTGAGAGACTTCCTGTTCTGTTTGTCATGCTTCGTCGCGAAACTAATAGATGAAAATAAGAAGAATATATATCAATAAGTGAGAATACATGTATCACGGTTCCTTCAATTACTATATCATGGATGAAAATTCAACGTTTCTAACGTTTAGGGGATTGGAATCATATTAAAATCAACTTGCTATTACTGCAATTCTTTCGTTTTCGTACGAATTAAGCGCGTAAATTTTTGCTCGTGCATGATGTGTAGATTTCAATTCAAATGTTTTTACTCGTGTTTTGTATGGGAGACAGCCATTCCAATAATCAGGATAGGAAAGTGTCATAAAGGTAGCCGAATTTCAGCTCATCATTCCATCAACGTATGTAGTGACATATTGTGTAGCTATAACAATGATTGCATGGTCATTAGAACATATTATATTTTTACATGCATGCTGTGTCTCTCGCTTTTTATATACTATACCGATTAACAAGGATAAAATATTCATTTACAGTATGTGTCCATTATTGACAAGTAGTAGCTAATTTTATCTCTAAATTTGTTTTTCTACACACTTGAACGTTTATATTTACTGCGGACATTCAGCATGCATGCAATGACATGCACAAGCAGACGAGTATATAGCTCTTTTCAATTAAGCTAAAACTCAATTAAATTACACAAGCACGTAGAAAGCTTACTTGAGATCCGAATGCACAAACTAAATATAAACTCCCTCGAAGTGATTTTATTCACAATTATCGAAATGAAGTGAACACGTATGCATGGATTACGCAATCATATGGTGTTAAACAATTGAAAGCAGTTACGCAGTATACAAGTGCGATTCAAGACAATTTAGACCATTATAATTTATGTCGCTAATATGCTCAAATAAAAACAGCAATTTTGTAACCAATAAAGATGACGCTGAATGAGGTGATGCATGCATATTCTGAATTTTCCATATTCAGTCAGCGCGTACAAATAGGCTACAAAAGACATTGCTTTTTCGTGAATTTTTTTTTCTATAGAATTACACTCGTGTGATACATAATTCTTTAATATAGCGATGCTTATATGATTTTGAATTATCATATATGTATTATATTACTAGGAGATACGTGAAAACATATAAATATTTAAATATTTGCCTTACTGCCTCGCCGTACATCAAAGGCCTTGCAAGTTTAAACGTGCATACATCTTATCCGTTGGCATCTCATACGAGGCAATTAACTGTAATCTTAATCTTCAAAATTAATCTCAAATGCATGCATACATGCATGTCCATCGCGTTGCAAACGTTACAAAATTTAACCCTTATTTTCGACACGGATATTTTATAGCTATATATATATACTCTCTTTGCCGTATTTTTAAATAAACTTCATTTCCAGTATTTCCCTTTGTTTATAGTACTAACATTTATTATGCAGCGGTTGGCGCTATATAAATATATAGCTTGTATGCATTAACAAAGCGATCAGTGCATATACAGGGAATAAACATGGACATCATGGAAGGACTAGTTGCACTACAGAATTTTTCCTTCGTGACTAATTTTACGCATTCATTGAAGGAAACAAAGTAGGGAAATGCGAAGATAATTGGATAATTAGTCATTTAAAATACAAGGTGGAAATGTAATCTTCGATGCAGCTGAGCGATGAATGGCGAAGAACGTGACCTATTATATAGTATTTCGCAGCCATACTATACGGCATACCGTGCACGCAGAGCCTTATTTTTCGTGTTATCATGATTGAAAGTAAGCAAGAGATTAACTTTGCTGCATGCAAAGCAAATTAATAGGATAATGACAAACGTATATCGTGATCCAATAAATTAACAATGGATACTGTATTGTGTTACATGTGCTTTACAATATATACGCTTGTTGAAATCGAAACCTTTAGCTTTAGAAATTCATCTTGGTTATCATTGTAAACACGTTTGAATCTGGCGGATCTTACGTGGAACAACACCGTAATAATCTGTATATAATATATTAATTACCAGGAAAGTTAATTTCTGAAGCCATCCCTTTTTAGTACAACAATAATTAATGTATGTGCAATAGAATCAGTCGTGGAAATATAGACTAAAAATTATATTATATGAATTATGAAGGTCTCCAAGATTTCTGCTACAGCGAGAACCTAAGCCAGCGCCTCGTTTAACAAGGAATATAGCTATTCCGTAGACTCACTGTTGTGTCTTTATGACATTACCTGGCATTTTGTCGGATGCTGCAAAAAGAGGTGTTGTAGCCCTTAAACATTGACACATCGGTCACGTAGGAGCGTGAACACGTTCTGCGAAAATTGTATACGTGATGTTCCTTAATTATACACAGTTAATTCTGAGAAACAATGGTGGGGAAGTTACCAGTTTATAGGAATTTTCATAAATAGGCCTAATCAATTGCGGAGAATCCAATAATTTTTCCTCCCTAGTGGGAAGTAGGCTACTCCGGATCACCACAAACTGTGTTATGAATACATGCATTATTACATATTACACACATTTTATTATTTATACTATATGTTTTATCAGGAGTTGTGTCCCAGACATGTAATTATTGATTCGGCTACGTGAAATGTGTATATAAGAATTTGATGAAAATACACCCATATAATATTTGATGAAAATACACCATAGTAGTAGGTCAGAGCTTAAATTTTGAACATATACAATATTTTTGGAATCAACGACTTCTGTATATTTCAAGGTCTTCCAATTTAAAATGTCACTAATTCATCTTGCGCTTAATAAAAGTAACATGAAGTAAAGGATTCATGCATGAACATTTGCCCGAGCATTACATAAGATCGCGATTTAAGTATAGCAGCATTTCGATGTATAATTATGATTTGAAATATAATTCAGTCTACAAAATGATTGTGTTGAGCCATTCGTCTAGGTATTTGCACCATAAAACAACACAATACAAAAAGTCAGAGGGATCCACAGAAGAGTCGCTCTGTTATAAAGGGGTCGTTTTTACTCTATTGAATTCACGATACAAAGTAGTATACCCAGCGTTCACCTCGTTACATTGCATTCGAATTATTTCCTGTATATTTAATTATTCCCAATTTATTTCACACACGGCAAGACATTACGCTATCTATAATTTAACATGTTCTATATTATATACGGGGCATCTGTTTCAGTGAAAAATGTCTCAGGACAGCTACCCTATCCAGAAGTATTTTGGATATGAATACAATTTTAATTGAATTTCAGGAAAAAAAACTTCGTGTAGTAAATGTAGCTATTTTGTATAGATGTGAACATAACGAGCAATGCATGTTAAGAATGGTCATTATAGATATAAGACCGGTTTTATGCAATCTGTTGGTTAAGTTTTGAAATACAGTTTAGTTAATTGTGTTTCACATATACTATTCTTTGAGTATATAGACGGCGTGCCTACAATTAAAGCGCATCGTTTTTTTTCTGTTTGTACGCAAAAAATAATAAAGTATTTCACAGCACTATACTCATTCAGAAAGAACCTGCAAAAATTTTATCCATGTGTGCAATAGGCCTGCTTCACAAGCATATTATTCCGACCCTTTCGGTATTTTGTCTGCCAGCACAACCGAATGCCGATAAAAACGGTGTCAAAACAACGACAGGCTGGATTTAAAATGTCCTATACTCAAAACGGCGACAAGATCGAACACTCTCTATGCGCCGGCTCGAACAAAATCTATTTCTAAACGAACTTCCTATATTGCGTGTGCGGAAATCGAGATCAGAAAGTCAGTAGGTTTTGTGAAACATGATGGGAAACATATAGCTACTATCGATTCTTAACTAACTTTATCATTGACGGCCATCAACCCAAAATTAACCACCAAAAGATATCTCGGGCATAAGATATGCCCGCTAAATAACGGACGAAAATGTTCACGGCTACGATACGGCTCGATATCATGTCCGCATTTATCAATATGAAAACAATAACAAATTTAACCCAAGCGAACTATGGAGCAAGGACAAGGTTTCGAATCTTCCCTGCCACCAACAACGAGTCAACAATAAATAGATTTATACTAAAATAAGAAGATAAATGAGATTGTGCTGACCATGAGGTAGTATTCTTTGAGGGCCAAGATCCCATAGCTGAAGACTTGAGGTAAATTACCATACCGAAGTACAGGTGTACCGAACGTGGCCGATTCGTAGATTATATTCCGGAGTTTCGACCATTTGAGCATCAATAACATGAATCTAGTAAGAGTGTCCTGAAGTCCTTCGTTTTAATGCTTCAAATCCACGCCGATGATGGCCAGGATACGAAAATTTAGCAACTTGAACGTCACGACGGCCCACGGAGACATATACACGATTTTTTGTGAAGTTTGCCCGTGAAAGTATTATGCGGCAAATTCTGAATAAATTATACTTCCATATATGGGCAATTGCTATTGTCCTCGCGGCCAGCTGTATTTGTGTGAAGCTGCCATTCAATTTCCCCGTGTCTGTAGTCTACGCGGTCATTGCTCCGTGCGGCTTCTAATGAATTCGTATCTATTCAAATTCGCTAATCACCTTTGAAAATACCAATTGCATAGGAGTTCACGACGGCCAGCCACAATTAGATCTCCGAGCAATTACTACTTCACAGACATAGCTTTAGCCCGGTCGAGACGACATTGTATACACAATGCCGTGGTCCTGCTATTCACGTCGCCATTTTTCGAATCGTACGACCGTCGTGGATACTTCAAACGTCGAAAATTTTATAGCGCTAGCCGAAGGCTTGTATAATGAAAATTGTAGCCGGTTTTTAATAATTAATGACAAGTAGATATTGTTATGGAAACAGAATTAACATTTGAATTCACGTGCAATAAAGGGAGACATTATCTCTTGGGGGCTAACGCGAAAACGATACCTCTCATGCATGCTTAAGCCTCTTAGATATTGCATTATACATACATACATATATATACATGCACACACATACACATATATATAATATATATATAATAATATATATATTATATATAATATATATAATATATATTATTATATAACATATATATATATATATAATATATATATATAATATATTATATATAATTTAACCTTTAAAATTTTAAAATGACGCACAATTACGCCTCACGACTATGCATTCATCAGAAATGTGCCGTGCAATCCATCAGTATACATCAGTTTCCCATCAGGCTGAAAAACATATTTCAGAATACGTTTACGATGCGTTTGGAGCAACTACATGCATGTGTGCAGCTTATCATTTGAATGATATTATACTTATCACTTTTAATACTCAGTTTCATACAAATCGAAAACAAAGGACCTTAAAAATGTATATATAATGCCTACATGCAAGCGAAATCTTTATGGGTTTTAATTTTCAGAAATATTTATTAAACTGTTGCGTTGCAGGCATATTGCCCGCATAATTATTAACATTGAATTTCCTGTGAGAAGCAAAATGTATTCTAAAATCAGTTTATAGTAGCTATGTTTGCAATAATTACTATCTATCCTTTTTTACCAAGTTTCAGTCCACATGCAATATACGTTTATATACATATAGAATAAAAATAATATATAGCAAATCATAACACACCTCGCTGACATTCCATTCTATAGCTAAAACTAGCTAAATCTTTAATTACGAGTTTCAATTTTTAAAATTTTTATTCAAGATTCAGCGTAAGCTATGATAGCTTTATCAAGCAATCGCATTTATGGATTTAGATACCAGGCGCCCTCTGCTTCTCCAGTTGTTTTCGCGCTTCTACTTTTTATTAACATAATTTTTTTAAGAAATATAGCCGATGGTCGCTTGGGAAAGTACCCTGCATGCCTGTTCTCTATAAGTACATGACTGATGACTGTTGAGATATGACAATTTTTCATAGTTACGTGAGGTCACACACTTCACTGTTTATCACATCATAAAATTTTCAAATACCCTTTTGAATGATACACCAATATGGCGGACGTATCACGAGGTAAACCAAGATGTAGCTGAATTGATTTAAAAAGTGAAAGTTTTGAAGAGCCTTTTATTCAAAATCTTTTTATGTCAGATTGTGATAGGCGGTAAAAAAATGATTTCGAGCTAACACATATATAGGTGCTATAAAAGTTTGGTTAAGTTTTATACAATAATGCCGTTATTTCTATTTTGATCCTTTAATTCACTGGAAACTATATATGATATATGCATGCATTACTGAAAATGCTAAATCCGCAATTCACACGCTCGTTGCAGCGCGGTGATCCGTGATAGTTCTATTTAACCACGGTAATATTGTCGGATAAATCAGTGTACAATATTTATAAGGATCATACAGATACCATTGAATATTCAAAGATTATCCTACTTACAAGAATAATGTTACTAACCTAAGAATATAGCTGTTCTTCTTTTAAAACACGAAATCGGTCTGCTTTTATATACTCAGGTAGCTTTATATGTTAGTATAATATTATGTTTGTAGTATCTTCGTATATGTATCCTCGTATCAGGCTATATACATGTAGCTGTATATCATAAAGATAAACTAAGGCGAATTTATTTCTGTTTTTAAGTAAATAATTATCGGTGAATTCGGTTGCATGCATGCTTCGGAGCGATGCGTATAAAAATAATATCTACTTTCGCTTTGTTTTTTTCTTCATCCTAACACATTCGGTACAGTTAATTGTCTCCTGTTTTATTATATGCTTGTTTCTTTTAAAATTCAGTATACTATATATATTACGTTTTGTTTGTTTTCTTATTCAGTGCTATCGTGGTTAAGATATTGGGCACGGTAATCGGACTTATAGTCGAAGTAGAATATCCAAGAGCGATAAAGTAGATATAGATCCAAGAACGATATAGTACTAAAATTAGTATACTTCATGTTTTAGGACTATATATATGCTCAATGCCCAAATTGCTTTTGCTCCAGAAATTTGATGAAGGATTGACGAGCATGTGATATAACGACAAAATGTCAGAGGGCTGAACGTCGGCCCAATCGGCGCACTATACCATCGGGCGAGCCGCGAGCCCGCGTTGATCATCGATATCCTATATAGAGGAGTCTTAATTCCTATCGCACTGCTTGCTTCCTAAGTTTTAAGATCAGTTCGTAAAGACATATTACAGATGGAATCAACAAATTTGTTTAACATCACAAGTTTGCTGCTGTGGTCACAGAGTAAGAAATTAGTAGCGACAAAGGTGCGAGACGAATATTTTTCATTCACCAACCGTAAACTATAGCTATCATTCCAAGTATAAGTAAATAGGCGCTCCCTAGCGCAAGCATGACTCGTATAAATAGTTGTAACTCTTGTCAGAAGGCGATCGAGTTTAATAAACAGAAGCATTTCAAAACGACAGGATAATACACAGAAGATAAATCTTTTCACTGTGTTTGAAATGAATTATGAACAACAACTAAATGTTTCAGCTGTCAAAACGTTTTGCATCAGAACGTCCTCAAAGAAATAGTGGCAAATGTTGTTTCCAAAATTGGCAATATACAATCAAAAAGAACGGCGACAGTTCTTACGAAACTTTTTGTTAGCATTTAAAGGCTTTAACATGAGCACTGTCTAGACTATAGCTATGCATGAAATTAGAAGAAGTAGCCTAATACTGCAGACAGCGAAATTTTAGAAGATATATAAAAAATTACGCAGAGTATATAAGCAAGTTCATGCATTTGCCAAACTCTACGACTATAGGTCATTCCAAAAGGTGTCCAAGGCGGGTACCCATCTATAGCTGGGAATTTGTCCCATGTGGTTAAAAGATATATACATGGCCCTTGAAGTAACAAGCGTTTAATTCCACGATTTACAATTTAAGATATAAACTCAAAAATATTTCCGTTGGCGAAAAATGACGATATACACGCATGCGCAAGCCAATTGTACATCATGAACCGTTTCAGGATTATATCAATATTTCAGCGCAAAAAGAGGCAATGTAAGGTGAATGTCGAGCTAGATTACTAATACTTGCATGAGATGATTTTATTAATAGATGTTATAGTTGCAATCCAAATTCTGTCTGCCTGATTTGCCCAAAATTAATTTCCTCATTACATTTAACCATAACTAATCTTGTTATCTTTTGAACCGTTGATGTGATTTCCCTCGCTGTAATTACTGTTATGTTATTCTCTTATTTTTACCAGAGAGATTTATGTGCAAGAAAAATTATATAATAAATATCCGGAGACAAAACGTACAACAAAAGCCCTTACGACGATTTTTGATATTACATAGCTACTATATTGGCAGCGTCGGCTCTTTCAACCGACTTCAAGGTTTCAAAATTAAGATAAAAAAGCATCTCTTTTGAGGAACAGCCGGCGCTGGGCTGAAAACCAGTCACGTGGCTTTTTTCATAAAGGCGATTACAGCTTTTGGAAAAATGGAATATTTTGATTGCGATATAGAATTTTAATTTCAGACGGTTTTCTCCATGTAAAATAATTGTAATAGGCGAAATTGAAACAGGAGACACTGACCAAAGCCTCTCCACTGTCCAGTAGCCAGTTAACGTCTGTGAAGATCGACAATATGTTTCTGAGTGGCTGAATAAGCTGGCATTGTTTAAACGGCAAAACATATAAGTAACAGGATGCACAGAATGTGCGTTAATGTTCCAGAGGTTTCGGGAACCGCAGGCCACAATTGGCGTAATATAATTTTTGGGAAAGAACGAGGTGGCGTTTAAGGTGGTTTTTTATACGATTGCGAATTCACACAACAATAAAATGCATCCAAACAATTTCATGAGCAAAACCGAATTTTTTTTACATGTCAGCCGTCATGAAATTGTAATGTGAATCGAATCTAAAATCAAACGGTGCATTTGTAAAATTAATTCTGATGCGCCCATAAAAACCGTAATCTGTAGACGGCACGGGCTGTTTTGCCGAACGACCGACTTAATAAAACGACCTAATATAAGAGTATTATTTTACAACTATGGACGAATGACCCGAAGCGATGTCTCGAATTTAAATATGCAATATTGCACTATTGAATGAAGTGCTTTCATTCTGATCTTAATTTCCTAACCATTCTGTATCATTAGCTCAAGCCGCTCCTGCCATTTAATCAATCCTGTATACATATATACATTTTCACAGCGAACGATATATAAACATATATGAAATGACTGTCAAGTTGAATGGCGCGTAGGCGAATTAATGACAATGCCTGCCTGTTCACCCGTTTACTGATGTATTTGAGAGATCAAACGATTTCATGGCGTATATTTACTGTAGATGTATAGAATAGATATCAAAATTATGAACTCAGACTATACATCATTTGCTTGGCCTACCCTTCGGTAAAACTGTTCGCTATTTGTAAGCGAGCAATGTTATTTTCTTGCGAATTTCGAATGCAAAATTGACATAGGTCAATTCCCATATGAAAAGGTAGACATTGAATAAAGTTAAGACAAAGACGCCGACGGCGAATGTCAGATACATATACAAGACATAAAGAAATTAAATATATCTGACTGTAATTTGTCAAGGGAAGTTTAAATAAAACTTACTTTGAACAATCCAGTCCGTTTAAACGTCCTCCCTCGTCATTTGTAAGCGATATTGAGGGTTTAGCATCCTTAAATTTTACACATTTCTCCTTCCCTTTCGTCTGCTCGTCGCCCATTGCCGGTGATCGTTGCTTGAACTTTGTTACACTTAATTAAACTCGTCTTCTCCTTTCTCTCCGATCTATGTATTGGCAGGCTTCACAAAAATTGTATGAGCACACTTCGTATGTCAGCTTATATTCCAATATTCAATGTTTAACACTCGTGCTGCTCACCAGGATGTTATTGTTCAGCGCTGCTATTGACTGACTCAACTTTAATCAAGCGTTGAAATCATCCTCGCCTACATAGCAGGCCGACCGGGTCAATCTTGCTGCAGCTTCAACGAGCACTAGCCGAGCAATGAATGCCTGCATCGCTTTTAATTTAAATGTTATTTACCCAGATCACACTGTTCAAAATGGTTTCGTCAATGAATGATTGATGACACCGCAGAGAACTGTAATCAGTCGTGTGTACCAGAAGTGTCTGATAACAGTCCCTTTGTCTCTGACGAGCAGCACGCGGTTTGAAATCTCATCTGTACTCGTGCAGCCATGGTAGCCGCTCACCTCTCGCTTTTCGAAACAATTTCTCATTTTGTTTTCGGAAATGAAAGATAAATGTTTGAAATAAATATTTGGCCGCGTCACATAGAAGTATTTATTGGGGTAATTAAATCTCAAACAATCAATATATATTTTCTTGCAGATCCGCGCCTCAGTGATTAGATGTTTGGCAAGATGAAAAAGAAAATTTCGAGACGCCTTTACAAAAGCATAAAAGTGCACTCTAAGTATTGCATTTTTTGGTATGATACAACCAATGAGATGTTTTTTGTAAAATATTTAGCTACATAAACTTGTAGTAATTTTAATTAAAAGAGCGGTGATATCGTTATTCAGCTAATCTTTCAATCGGGCAAAGGTTTTGCCTCTGCACCACTAATTCCTAAACCCAGGCTGACCATAAGTATATTTATGATTTTCAAGTAATAATCAGTTGCGAGCCATTGGTAAGAGACAATTAAGCGCTGTTTTTTATCAATTATTAGATGACACTTAGCGCACTTCAATTAAAAAACTGATATGAAACAAGTCATATAACTGATAGGGAACGTTGATTGAAAAATGATGGTCAACTGGCCATCTGCTTCTCTTGTATTCGCATGCATGCATGCAGTTCCTAATCACAGCATTTTCTGACCACAAGATATAGAATACTGCAGCATTTAGTCTCATGTGGAAACTATTTTCTCTGTTGGAATATGTCCGACAGCTGATTCACGATGTGTATACATTTGCATTTTAGCTGCAACGCTCTATATTGCGGCAGGTTACTATATGTGCACTGGCGGGTGGTCGCTTCGTCTTCGATAGCGGTACTATGGAACGTTAGCATTCACCACGAATTAGTGACGAGATTTTTAATTTTCGCCCGGAAATCCTCGACTCGGGGCAAAAGGCTTGGCAGGTCCAACTTATATCGAAAGGAAGTTATGACTTCTTTCAACAAACCTCGTACCGCTGAGATAGATTCGTCTGTAAGTATCCCCCAAATGCAGGAAATCAGCTCAATTAGGAACAATTTATTTGCAATAGGTTCGAATTTCAATTGAAGTTTGGCATTTTCATTTTCGGTTCAATTTTCATTAAACAGTCTTCCTATGTCATCGAGGGGATCGGACTGAAAAAAAATACTCAGTACTTTGAATGTTCAGCTTTGCATATTCCCAATTGCATTAGTTTGTCCTATTCATAAAAGATAATGCTAACAATCAAGCTAGGTTATATATTGTTGGAAATGCGAGTCTGAAAAATATACTGATTATGTGGTATTTAGATAATTATAAATCACGTTTACCTTTAAGATTTTGGCTAAGATATTTCTTGCATTTTTTTAATAAAAAGTCCACTTACAGGCTGACAGGCATTCAAGAATAAAGGACAGTTAGGACACTCATTTAAATAGAGAATAATACGAGGGAGACGGTACCTTTTTCGGCCTCTCTATTCGCAGGCTAGGATGCGCGAAAATATGGAATTTATTTCGAGTGTTGAGAATAATATCGAACGAGAAAGCGCAGCGAAACGAGTGAGATATCATTCTCAACAGGAGAAATAAATTCCATATTTCGAGCATACATGTATTTTTGTTTTTATTATATAATAAAAAACTGTTTTCTTGAAAACTTTTTACCCCCCGGAGCGCGAATACGTGATTTTGGTTGGTGGATCAAACACGATAATCGCACATGCGTTTTTATCGCTTTTCACAATTAATGGCGGATTCGCCAATAAAACACTGCACATGCATCGTATATAATAAAGAATAATCATTGCATATTTTGACTAATTAGACCTAAGTTATACGTTACATTAGACGTAAGTCATACGTTACATCGCTTCGAATGAAACTCAAATAGTGGATAGAATATAAAACTCATTATTGTATCATTATCAATATTTTGAGTTGCATTTGAAGTGACCAAAATACGACGTATTAACCGAGGCCCCGTTATCATAAAATAAGATTGCATGGACACAACAGCTTGGAGAACTCGTGCAATCATTTAATTTTCGATAAGACAATCTGCGGATTGCATGCCCTTCAACCGCCATTTTTTATTGGTCAGAGTAATTTTTTTTAATTTTCTTCCTGTCCATTTATGGTCGACCGCAACGATAATCCATTTAATTTTTTTCGAAGAATTTTACTTCTAGGTGAAGTACCTCAACTTGAGGTTATCATTATGTTTACGATTTCCTGTACTATCATAGGTTTATTTGGATACAAAATATTCATTAATTAAAGACTCTTCAACTTTATTTGGTCTTAAAAACAATAACAAGGACTTTTGACAAACTCGCTGAACAGATAAAGTGTATCGAAAAACTGCATTGCATGCATGGGCATGCTATACGTATGAAATGGTGGGATCTGTTAAAAATGAGTTAATATCAAACGGCTACTATACCGCATGGAGCCTGATTGGAAGGATGCTTGTATATCCGTATTTGTTTATACAGATTTTTGGATTATATGTCATTAGTGTAATTACGAAGATACGCGTTTTTGAACTTTCTGCATGTTCTCTTATTGGTCAAGCTATATAGTGACCTATTTAAGCTCTTTTCCGCTCATCGCAAAAAAAAACTACTCACAAGCTCGATGCGATGAGTGGAGAACCTTTATGAAATCACCCGCGAGCATGTTGTTTTGTTCAAAGTGACTGATGAAGAATATATATATATATATATACACCATACACCATCAATTGGAAAATAATGAAAAAGTCAAAACCATACTGCAACAAAACCAAACGCTGTAATCTATGCCTTTCCGAAAAATTCATCATTATCTGTCACCCTGAATTAAGCTCTCTTAACAAACGCAACGAACTCGTATCCGCCTGCCGACATCGAAAGAAATTTCTCCTTAGTAACACCCATGTAACATGATCTAATTAATTATTTATGCATCTCCTGTATATAGTCCGTCGTGCTGTTGTAATATTATATTATTTACCTGACGAGTGTGGCAAGCTATATAAGCTTGTCATACGAAACAGTCCTGTAGTAAATAAAATTTCGATGAAGTAACCTGCGTTTTCTCATCTTGTGTATATATATATATATATATATATATATATATATATACATATATATGTATATATATATATATATATATATATATATATAAAATTCACATTTTAAGGGTAAAGTATTTTACTAAATTGTCAACATGACCCTGTTTACCAATGTTCATTGCAATATCTTCGTGGACAATCTCAACGGGCGTTATAACTACGTCATCATAGATTCCACTCCCATCCTCTTCCGTTTTATTCCCACTCAAAGGGTTGCAAGCGGTTTCATGAAGCGAAACTTCATCACTAGGTTCACTAAAATGAGAAATAAGTTTGACTTATAAGAGACTTACAGTAAGTTTGGTCTCTGCAATTCATTTAGGATAGATTTCAAATAGAGTAAACGCGCTTTGAAAGGTAAAAAAATGGAGAAACTCTGGAACGTGGTTCAGGATTTAAAAGGAACCAATCAAATGCGTTGTTTGGAAAACGCAGAATGTTAATTTAATTATGAATACCTGAACTTCATAACGAACTTGCGAATTTCCGAACGACGTTCCGATTAAAACGACATATTTTAAGCAACCCAACATTACGAACGCTTGGTATTTTGCAGCCAACCGGAATCGCATGCAAAAATTTAAAAAACCCAATTTATATCTAAGTCCCTTTTCGTGGCCCTTTCGCTTATCTAAGCTAAATAAGAAGCTATAGAACTGTGGCGCTCCGAAGGATTAATTGAGAGATAAAAAGCTCAACTTTGAACTTGATATAAGATTGAGAAAAAAGTTTGCACACTAAAACACATTTAAACAGACCGTCAATCTGAAACATCGGACATTTTCTATATGCGCAATACAGCTTTTAGCGCTAGAACTAACTTGGCTTGTTTTGAAAACACCATTCACTTACTTTCGTTTCACAGCTTCTCCGTCCTCTTTTTTAATTTCCTCGATACTCGAATAAATATGGTAATTTGCGCTTAGATTTTCATTTGATAAATGTGGGTTGTAAATTTGCGTTGAAGCGGTGGCATTGGCATCTAAATCTGATGTATGGTAAGACTCCAGAAGAACGCTGAGGAAGAAAAAAGTAAACATCAGATATAAATGGAAACAGAAGTGAAATTATACGTTAAGTTTGAAGGAGGGACGGGGGAACAACGCAATGCCTCTTGCATTAAAATGTATAAGAATTTCATTGTGCATAGATTATCTCATCCTTGGAAAAACGCCATGAATATTCAGGCCCCACTAAGGGGGGGCGTGCAGTGTGAGGGGGAAAAACCGTAACGAAACAAAGTAACAGCATCTAAAGGAACCTTTAAGACCCCATCATTGTCGACTTATTCTCGTTGTGTTTACGCTTTGCTCCAACTACTTCCGCCCAGAGGTTTGAAATAACACTCTGTGTTGTGACAGAACAATGCGAAATCCAAATTTGTTGAGAATCTATGTCATGGACAGTCCACGTTCAATGGCTTTGTGAGTTTGTCATTATAGTTTGTCATTATCAACCTCAGCCTTTGGCTTCGGTTGATAACCACAAACTTTAGCTTGATCATTCTTCATATCATGTGAAAACCGAATTCAATAATTGTTAATTGTCATATTCTCAGATCAGCCAGGGACATATATCCCAAATATATTGTTGCGGTTGACGTTGTGTTATATCCCAATTAAAAAGTGCGGCTAAAAGCACGCAGCCCAAACACAATTTAACGACACTGATTCTAATTATATACACCTTGCTGCACAACTCATTAATTGTTGAAGAGATTTGGTGCATGCGTTAGATCTTCCGGGAGATCTTTAAAACTTGGGTTTCCCACCATTCTTGTAAGTTGAACAGGTTTCTTTCCAAAATTTAAACTTAATTTTAGACGTGCATGAATTTTTCCATACGTCGCGTTCTTTTTGTGACTTCCGATTTCTGTTATGTGAACTTATGCGTTTGTGCACCGCGAGTACATTGTCCGTTATATAAGGGATGCTGGCTGCTGCGGCAGTTTGAAAAATGTAATTTGTATTTATGATTTTAGCCCGTCATTTGGTGAAGTATGTATGTCATTTACTTACCTTTGTGTCATATTCCCAGAGTTCCGTGTGTCTTCGGCATCTTCGTTTTCGATTTCGCGCTTAATGTCTTTAATACTGAAATAAAGATGGTCTTCATTCGATGGACCTGAGTCATGCAACTCCGTAGAATCTGTGACATCATCTGAGAATTGACGAAGCTCCAGGAGATCACTACAATGTGAAATTAAATGAAAACGCGCGGTGAAACTGTAGAGGTTTATTCTCACAAAGAAGGAAGAATTTTAGACAAAACTCTGATTAGATTTTTGGACTGATTCACCTTGGTTGTTTGAAAGATGGATTTCTCACCCATTCTCTAAGTCGAACAGGTTTCTCTGCGGAATTCAAACTTATTTTTGGCATGCATGAATGTTTGCATAAATTGCGTCACATTCTTTTTGTGACTTCCGTTTTTCGCTATGTAAAATTGGGCGCCGGCGCATCGTGAATACGTTTTCCGTAAACGTGGCGTTTGTGGCGATACTGGCGCAGGCGCAGCGGCTGTATGATAATGACCAATCAATGAAATTTCGATATTTTCCTTTACCTTTTGTCCACTGCTTCAATAACAACAAACATTGATGGACGATCTTTGGCATCCCATTCCCAACACTTCTCACAAAGTTCATACAAAGGGCAGGATTGAGGATAAGGATTGGGGAGAAGTACTCTTGACGCCTATTGGACGAGCAAAGTTCAAAATTGAACGCACAAGGCATCAGTACTAATTACTGATCCGAGAAAGCAAAGGCGGGCTGGGTTCAGCAAAACAGACTGTTTCCTCAAAGTGTCAGAGAATAAGTAGTTTGTTCTATTTTTCTTAGTTGTTGAATGCAGTCTTATTTCAATCTTATAATAACAAGATAAATATTACGTGTCTAATTTTTCCTAGCCGCTCTGTTCTCAGTCACTAGCAACGACAGTGCTCGCGAATAATGCTTCAAGTTCAAGACAGCCATACCTCACTCTCCAGTTTCATTCCGTGAGGACGAATATCGTTCAAAGCAATCACAGGTTCGGTGGTCGCTATTTTCAAGAACTGCCACACAACAACTCCAAAAGCCCAAGTATCACTTTTTCTTGTGTAGAGATGGTAAACTAGAACCTCTGGCGCATCTCTGGAAACGCAGAAATTATCATGTTTTGAAGAAACGCAAGGTTGGAAGGGGTTGGAAAATAGAAATCATGTTGCAGTAGGACGGAAAGGTAAACATGCGGGGTTTTCCCTTACATCCATACATGCATACATACAAGACTTTATTTAGTCACGCCAGCCTCAACAGCTATAAGTTAGCTTGTTTTTATTCTGGGACAATATATTCCTTAATGCTTTAAGATTTTCATTTAAAACATTGGATTCTAAAATATTTGCATTTTATGCTCTGCGGAAAGAGTGCAGGAGTATGGCCTCGTATATGTATACGTATATATGTAAATGCATTCACAGACACCAAGGTTAGTTTATTTAGTACGTAGACTGGAATCCTTTGCCCGAATGAAGACTACATTATCTGTGAAGTCTACAGAAGCCCTTTCTCCACGGTACCTCAAAACGTCAGGAAGAATCTTCAAATTATTCATCGCTCTGGGATCACAATATTCAGCATTCACGTCAATTTCTTCGATTGACGTCCCAAGACATCCCAATTTGATCTATATTATAATAAATATTCGGTTATTTTAGTTTAGTTTCTGAATTTAAGTGTCAGTACCTATAAAATATTCTAAAAGCCTAACTAAATGGTTTAATTATATATATTTAATTGTATACTTATCGGACATTATCGGATATTACCAATACTTATCGGAGTTAGGAGTACCATTATACCAACTTTACAAGAATGTTAAAACACTGACTTTACAGATTACAGTAACGTATTAATCGACAAAAACCGAAGATATTTGGAGTAAAAACCTTAAAATTAAAAGTTTCTTTTCCGCATTAAACGGCCAATGATCGTATACTCGTTTTACTAACTTTGGCAATTAAGTAAGCAGATTTACGCCAGTTCTAGTCATTTCCATTAATGATCAATCATGCATGATCAAATCTCCAGCGCAAAACGTTACCAGCAAAAATGCCAAGAGCCGGAAAGCTCCCGCTATATGTTTCAATAAAGTTCAGTATAGACTTTGACTCGAACAAGCTGGAAAATAATTATAGTAAATAATTTGCACTTACTCTTCCTTCGTTGTCTATTAGATAATTCTCGATTCTTATTTTTCGATGAACAATTCTCTCTTCGTGAAGATAGAAGAGAGCTGAAGCAGCTTGTCGAATGTAAAGCTTTAAATTGTTGCGAAGCTCAACGTGCTGAAGCAATGCGTCCCGAATGTTGCCCATGGGAAAGCTTTCAGAAATCTAAAATTTTTAAAAAGCTTTTAAAAAGATCAAGAGAAGCGAAATCATGTTAATTGTAACGTCTTGCGCTTTGAATAATTGTAATTCAATTTTTTACCTATATAAAACATAATGCAAGATACAGGATACTAACCATTTCTAGTCGGTCGGGTCCAAAACGATTTACAGCAATCACATTTAAAAGTTGTGGGTGTGACAGCTTTTGTAATGTTTCCACATGTTTTATAGCCTTGAACTCGACATACTCAAGTACACGAGTTTCCTTCCATTCTACACCCTTGACAAGATATAAATTTGAATTAGGAATGTTTGTATACTTGGAAACTAGCTTTGCCCTAAAAATGAATGTAATGGAGTTCTCTGGAAGAAGGAAATATATTTCAAAATCTTAATCAAACAAAAAAATGGCATGAAGATGGCTACATTTGTGAAACACGAGTGTTAGTAACATACAATCATACCTAACATACTCATGTATTCACGAGGTTGGTTTTTTAAAGACTTGAGATATGGTATGTAGGCTTTAGTTTAGAAATTCTAGTTTACAATCTAATTCTCATCTGCAAACGAAATGGCATAATATGTAATTGGCCATGTGTAGTTACACGATATTGGGGTTGCACGCTATCACAAAGAAGGAATTAAACTTCATTTTCATGACTTGATGTTCAGAGAAGCGCCACCGCAAAATACTATTTGGCGAGACAGGTCTGATCATGCATAATAAAATCACTTAACTATCCATGGATATAGTCTTTTAACTATCCATGGTCTAATATAAAGAGAACGCAAGAGAAGGTTTTGGGTATATATTAGGCAGAAACGACCTCATGCATTTAAGGACAATCAAATTACGACGCCTAATTTTGCTGATGATTTCTTACTGAGATTGTGCGCCATCTGCGCCATCTGAATATATTTACTTACCTCTTTGCGTCGCTGTATAATGCACAGAAGTGGCATGAATCGAGATGGATTCGCGTTACTGTACGCTTCCTGAAGAAGAAAGCAAAAATAGATTGAAATTGTTTGTTTGATTTGAAGAGTTGTGAACTTTCATAATGTGCATAAGCTTCAACATTTTCAGTTTGACCTTTACTTTTTACCTCGAATACTTGGCCTTGGTACTTCTTATTCCAAGGGTGATCTAGATAATTCCATAATAGAATTAATCTATTGAAAATTTTTCAAATTTAAATTCTTCATAAATTCATCTTCTTTAAAAATTCTTCAAAACATTTTTTGTTTGTCAGTTTTTGATCTTAACCGAAACGAAAATTCCCATTCCCTTTACTTTTGTACAAGATAACTAGAAAAATAATTAAGGAGTGGAAAAAAATTATATTTCTCATTATATTCATATTAACAGGCACGTGCCAAATCGATGATATCCATGCTTGCACGGGTGTTAAAACGTACAAAAGGAGCTACATATAATAGAGTCTTACCTAGGACGTCTAGATGTGCAAACGGAAAATTATCGTCGTAATCATCAGTCTAAGCAAAAGAGGTGTAAATTAAAATTGAGGTTTAATTTATTCTATATTTACTTACTTAGCTTACTTGAAGAAATGCTTTCTTTACAATACGCTTTCTTCCTTTATTTTCTTTGCAATACACCCTCTAATTATGGCTTTATTTTTGGCCTTGCACTTACTCCTGGATTGTGACTTTCAAGATCTTCATCTTCTTCCAATCGAACCAATCTAGGAGGGGGAGGATATATTTTTTCTGATGTCTTCTGATCATCTACAAGAAAAAGATTACGATTACGATTTAATTAGAAACAACAGTTTGATCTGATAACAATTCAGTATCATCTATGCCATTGTTAGATATTTATCAATTTGATATCAAGGTTATATATGTACGTACTGTAATGTACATAATATACGTACCTAGCTCTTTTTTAAGTTGGTTGGTGATTTCGTTGAGCGTAGCTCTGCTTGAATATTCTTTTTCAAGACAATTTGATATTATTGTAAAAATATTGTCAGGAATGCAGGATTCTTTTCGCAACTTCCCCCCACGAATAATCTACAAGAATATATTGGTCCGTCAACAACGATACTTTCATTACCGAAAACATGTCGCTAATGTTTGAGAAGAATAACATGAAATTGAGTGATATATAATTCATATCGTTTCTATATTTCTTGGACAGATCTGAAAAAGAACTCTTTGCAGGATGCGCTTAAAACAGCAGCTCAAAAAAGTAGCAGTTCCTAACGTCTTTCGGTCCGAATACATACGTGAGATACTGCCGCATTGGAGGCATATCAGTGAAGAATATTTGTTGAGCAATTCAAACTTTATATATTGATAGAATATATATACAAATATTGGGCAGTTATATCGATTCTCCTGGAACACAATTAGAGCTAGAAATATAAATGATTTGGTCTTATGATAAACCAACATCGCATGCACTTACGAAAATCCTTGCTTCAGGTGAAGTAAGAGCTCCACGTTTGAAATCACCATGATTTGGACGAGGCTCGGGATGGTTGAATGGTACACATCCTAAAGTCAGTAACTCGTAGAGAAGGACCCCCAAACTCCACGAAACAGTTTTCAGATCAATCGATTTAAAGAGAAGGGCTTGAGGATCCAACCATTTAAAATGTTTCTGCTCGATGGCGTTTTCGACTCCGTAATTCTCTATGTCCTGCAATGTTCGACAAAACTGAAAACCAGTCAACTTGACGACGTTGTTTTCATGAAGAAGTACATTTCTCAATTGCATTGCCAAGTGAATGATATTTTTCTCTTCCAAATATTTAACGGCGCCTGCAATCTGCACGGCCATAAAAAGTAGTTCTGTCAGAGTTGGAGCAAGAGTGTCTGATCGGCGATTTCTCAAAACCGTGAGTAGATTTCCTTTTGGGACAAACTCTAACACAACGCACTTAACACGCTCGTTTTTCTTTATCAGTTTGATAATATTAGGGTGACTCAAATTGTTTAAGAATCGGCACTCGAAATCAAAATACTTTGGATGAGGATCAGTGTGTTTCTCTATAAGTTCCTTTTGCGTTTGTTTGTAGCATTTTACGACAACTTGTAAACTGTCACAATCGGCAAAGAAAATACACGAATAGCTTCCATTGTGAACCAACTCACGAGTCGCGTTGAGTTCTAAATCGGTGCAGTGCTTAATTCTCTCTTTGCATATTTCCTCTGCGGTCGTGTCCAGTTCCTTATATATTCCGTCCATTAACAAACTTCGAATACCAACGTTATCGATAAATACCAAAATTCGTGCGTGTTGGTGAAAGATATTAATGCAGTCGTGAAGTTTTCGTTTTTCAATTTCATTGAATAATTCCAACAGTCCCTTGATCGCACGATTTGGCATTTCCGACACTGCATGTGCATCGGTACATGAAGTAGAAAAAATAATTTATATATTTAATACAAGCAATAATGTATTGTAAGCAGTGATAAGTAGCTATACCAACCTGAAACTTCCCTTGCAATCTGAACGAGAATATCAACTACAGTAATCGTGAACTTCCATGGATATGTGGAATTTGCTTTTTTGGGTGATTTTAACAAGTATGAGACGACTTGTAACAGAACAGACAGAGCATCAGGCTTCTTAAGAACTAAAGTCTAAAAACAAATTAAATTACAACCGATTAGTACGTCCATCGGAAACTGTCGCCTCTGTAGTTTCTCGTCATAGAAATTTTTCAAATAGCTACTTCATGATACCCCAAAAATTGTACGCGCGAAATACGTATTAAAACATGAATAGTCAATTTGCACTACAGATTAACGACGTTTGAAACAGGCCTTAGAGGGTGGACACAGAGTAAGCAATAGATACAGAGATGAAACTAGGTGGTGTATGTATGGTAATTAAATATGGTATTTTTTGTACCCACGCTTTTTAGTGCGTGTAAGCTAAAAGTGACCAACTGCGCATCCCCTGCAAAAGCCCGAAATGGCTTGCATTTCTTCGTAAACATCTGCTTAAAAGTTTTCGATGATTGAAGCTTTACAATATCGTCATTTATATAGCATTTTACGCACTTAAGAAAAATATTCAAGCGCATGCGCAATTGCATGTGGACTAAAAAAGTGGGTGCACTAGTTCCAGCTCTGTATTTATTACTTACTCTTCGGGGCGGAATTAAGGCAGAATTACCTGCATTTTCAACCACGACAAAACAAGGTAATGCTGAATCCAGCTATTATATTTCAAATACTTTTTTAGGCATTCAATTATCGTTACTTGATTTTTTCCATCTTTGAGTTCTCCAATCAGTTCTATTGCGTTATTTATTTTCACTTCCCTTCGAATATTTGTCAATACTTTAAGCATTTTTATAACTGCTTCTATGTCCCGACGAACAAGAGACATGGGGAAAAACTTAGGGGGTTCCACGACCATTTCTAGGTGTGATAAAAGATCAGCAAAGGCATCCTTGTCACGCAGCTGTGGTTGTAGACCATGTTTCAGCATAACGGACAGAATGGATGCATAAATATCTATTCCATTTATGACATTGAGAGTGTCATCTTGAAGCAGAAACCCTCGCAGTTTGTACTCGGCTGGAGATATTTTGCAGTCGGTGAACAATTCCACACTGAGGTTATTCAGTTCAGCGTGGATAGTTTTTGCTAGCCTTATCTGTTCTAATCTTCGAGTAGCTCTGCAAAAGGCTTCTATTTTTCCTTCCAATGTTGGGGCATTGTTATCTCTAGACGCTAAGGCTCGACCAGCACTTACGGTATCTTTAACTAAAGGTAAATGTACATGTTGACAATAGAATTCATCTCAATTTCTCGACAGAACGAATAACGTATAATAATAAATAAGGCCCGTCGCAGACGTCGAACTTTTCATGTGCCAAATCGAGTGTAAATAAACTTAAACAAAGAATTTCGCTCGTTAACATTAGCTTCGGGACATGTAAAGTATTTGGTAATTATTAAAATTAGGTGGGGGAGGGAGAGGGGATGTTTATGTGCATCCGACCGAACCTCGCAATAAATAAAAATCATCAGATGTTGTCATGCACACCACTAAACAAATGCATTATCTCAGATTTTTCAGTGAATTAAAGTAAGAGGGATGCATACCAGTATCGTGTAAATGGCGCTAGGCAGCAGTTGTATACATACCGCTGATTTTGCGTAGGTCTGGAATTGGCATCTCGTATGATCCATCTTCCCCACTGGTTATATCTTAAAGACAATATTTTCTGTGAATTTTTTTTAGTATATTCTTACATAGTTAAGAGAAAGGTTAGTAAGGCCGGCAAACTTCAAAGAGTCTCTTATTTAATCTTCAACTGATGTTGAAATGCGCAGAAATCTGTTTCGTGCGCAGAAATCTTTTTCTTGCATTACCTACTATTAAAGCATTATTATATACACAAGCGCCAGATATGACGTATGCTGCAATTTCATTGGTTGGTTACTAGACAGATATTAGCTCATATCTGCCTAGTAGAGAAAGTAAACAACATGGCTGAAAGATTTGGGGAGTTGAGTGAAATAGAAATCCAAGCTTTAGTTGATAATAGCACACCAAAATGCACCGAATACGCGCCTCGTCAGCTATCAGCTCATATACGACTCGAGTTCGCAGAATAACTGTTAAATATAGTCAAGTGATTGAGCGTAAGGTTTTTATTGGATAATAGCTTCGTTGTAAAGAGATAGAGTGCACAAATTTGCAAAAAAAAGTCAAAAAACATGGAACTTTCTTATTAAACTGCTTTTAGATTATTTCACTTGGAACGAAGAAATAGGAATTGTTAGTGTGCTCTGAAATGGCGAGGGGATTTGGCATGAGTGCATGTACTTTCATTGTACTGTCATTCAGTCAAATTACAAACAATAAATGAATATTAGTTTGATTTGGGGATTATTGCAAGTTAATGAAATACCGCTGATACATCATGCATGCCATAGATTACATGTTATTCTGAAGCAAAATCTTGACAAAAAAAAGAAGTAAACCTGATAATTCAGAAAAAGGATATTTAATGTTTAAAAACCTACCCTTTCGCACTGCCCTATCGACGTAAATCCCATCAGGCTTTTCTGCGAAATTAAAAACATTATATATTTAAACCTGACTCTTTATTTATAGACCTCAATTGTGATCTGTGACCTAATGGTACATTTGTACAAGTTACTTTCTTGTTTTCTATTTCTTGGTCAATTAACTAGGAATTTTAGTTTTTTTTCTATTGCTAAAATTTGAATAACGTCAATGGTCAGGTAGTATGCATGCATGGTAATGATTATACTTACCATTACTTACCACCTTTACAATTGCATTATCACCAACGACAACAATTTTATTATTATTAGCCTTGAAATTGTTGCTAGTAGATGGGTTTGAGCCCGTTTCCCGTTTTGAATTATTATTATCCATAAGGTTTGCAGGAATTTTCAAATTGTGGCTATTAAATAGATAAATGAAAGCAAATCTGAGATGTTAGGTCGTATTACATTCAACACCACCTGGGATCATTTTTTGCTAATATAACGTATAAAATGGAGAATATTCATAATATGAATTTGAAATCCACAAGATAAATCATTACGAAATGTTGGGTTATTATAGGACCTTGTCATTAAAGTTTCCAAAGCAATGTTTAAATTCCAAAAAGACTGACTACATAATTATGCTTATTCTGCTCGAATTATTCTAAAGTTGGCGATAATTAACAGACTCCGAGCCGACGAAGGTACGAATTCCGCGCGGAGATTAGGAATTACACCCGGGTGTTGTGATCGAAAATTGGTAGTCAGCAACCTCCTGATTGGTGATTTTATTTATACGAATAACAATACAAAATATTCTTGATATTGATTGATTGATACAGAGCGCGATTTTGGCGGAAAATGCGCGTAGCCGGTAGCCATATAAGGCATGCATTCTATACCGCCAACAGTGTATCTTGAATTGTTTTCCGTTTTTTAATTATTTTTTCCTTCTCTTCTCTCGACGAAATTCTAATTCAGAGATATTCTCTCATTTCCATATCAGTACAGACTTCCCCTCAATATTTAGGGTAGTCATATGACCCATGTTATTTCTTTCCACTTCGTCCATTGTACATGCAACTCAATATCTCGTAAATGGTTGTAATGTGTTCATATTTGTATTAACTGACATTAATGTATGCTCATGCACTAGGATTTGATGTTTTAAGGTGAAGATGAAATGTTAGCTTTTCAACTACTGCTCTACGCGTAGATATTTCTAATCCTATAACGATTCCCTCTAGGTTCATCAGCCGTGGCAAAAAATATTGCCTATATAGAGTATGGTCTGACTTGGAGGAGGAGGCAGGCTGGTATCATGTTTCATGCAGCATTTCTATCCCATGAATTACCTAGTATTGCATTTGATGAGCTGGCGGAGAGTTCAAGGATTTAGTTTCCATTTAGTCGCACGATGAGGGTCGCAAATACGTCAAGGTAGAATATGGGTAGGATAGAATTTTACTACGCGTGTGCAGTCAACGATGACCGACTCAATAAAGAACGAAATAAGGACAAATTTACATCCTGACTTTTTTTCATCGGCGAAGATAACTTCACGACAATTACGACTATATGCAGGCTGTACCCTATATTAATCTGTGCCTCTTTTATAGGGCCTCCTGTCCGTATAATCATGTGCTTTTCTCATTAATTTCACACCGAAATGTTAGAGTTTTATGACATATTACAAGAAATTGTTCATGCAGTTAACCATGTTTTGACGTGTACTGTCTGTTGGCATGTAATTTCTTCATCGCCACAACTTTGAATTCTACTAATATCATAATTACTTATCATATTACCTATTGGTTGTATCGCTGAAGTATCGATATCAAAATCATATGCGGAAGTAAAGTCGCTGCAAGTTTGGATCTGGCTTATAACCATATGAGGATTACTATATCATTGCAACTATCATTTCATGAAATTCCTTCGTCGTCACAACATTGAATAAAATTATAACCGAATTATATACTGCTAACATTCAATTCATATTGCTTACCTCATTGTGAATTCTTGATTGCAGTTTGTCGATTGTGTGATCGGAAAATATCGCCAATATGGTTTGTTGTGTATTCCAGAAATACTACTGTTCCATCATTGATTTAATAGTAACAGAGGTAGCGGCTTTTATTTGTTACAGCATCGTAAATTTACTACCAAATGCGCATTAGTACTGCCCTAATCCATAATCGTGGTTCAAGTTCCGCTCTGCGCTAATATGCTTCTCCGATTTCTGATGACAGCATTGGCATAATGAATGCAAGATGACAGGATTCCCATGATGAAAATGAATATAATTATATTACAAAATCAGCGAACTTCAATAACGAAGAATAATATAAGAAGAATAATCAACCAGGATGCCTGCCCTCGCGATAACTCCGGCGTACGTGTCACTCTTGTCAATTGCAACCTTCTGAAGTTCATGTTTATTTTAGAAGCGTAAATAGCGAACCTATTAAAATGTGGTTTGGTATTCAGACAGCACATCATATTTAAACAAGCCGTTTGTTTGCATACACGGACATGACTTTCGCTTTGGAATTCGTACTTATAAATTTTGGTTTATATTTATAAACGTGTAGCTTATAATCGCTATTGCTGATGTGATCGGATCTTACTTAGGTAGTACTGTAATACTGTAAAATGGTGTACTGTATGCAATCGCATTAAATAATGAAATTTTGCAATTGAGGTCTCTCGTTTATTGATTCAAATGAAAAGGTAGGTAGGAAGGCATGTTGGGCCTAGATTAAGGTGGCTCGATACAGTTGGGCTAATTTTAAACAGGGATATTAAGCTCCTAAATATTTCACTATAAGGCTAAAAGTTAATATACTTTGCATGAAACATATCTAGAGCGGAAATATTCTAAGAAGTTTTGCCTGGCACCCGTTACCATGGAAACAGAGACGTTTCAAAATGGCCGCCAAACAAGGTTTTATCGTGTTTATATCACAAACGAGTTCGGTGACCCCCAATTTTTTTTGCATTAAACGTTTACGCTATAGATTATTTATCTATGAAAAAGTTTTAAAAAAATTCTAAAATAGGGGAATTTTTTAATAAGCAAAAATAACGTTTTTGTAAATAGAAAAAATTCCCCATGTTAGAACTAAACTATGTTTCCTGCAAAGTGTATTAACTTTTAGCCTCATAGTGAAATATTTAGGTGCTTAATATCCCTGTTTAAAATGTGCATATAAAAATTTCGAAAAATTGTATCGAGCCACCTTAACCGTCGCATATTTGTTGCATCGACTAGACTTTGTACAAACACTTGTATTCAGGTGAACTCAAAGCGGACAATAAAACCTTTAACTTCGTAGGGCAGACATATAGGTAAACAGAGATATACCATCAATTAACATCATCATACATAACTTGACGTTATTGGTTACTTTTTTATTTTGTTGACTTTCTGTAGTCCTTGAAGGATAAATAAATACCGCTTTTTATCTATAATTTTGTTGCCTGGATATTACAAAGGTTGAATCCTTATACTTTGCAACGTACGTCTCGGACAGTTTTAGTATCTTGCTCAAGCTTTATTTTATACCTTCCAAAGTATAAAACTCAAGCTTTGTAGAATTTCGGAAATAACAATAATTATTATTAAACCGGCATTTTTTGCTTACAAGAATATGCAGTGTATCTTATCTTGAATACTATGGTAACTTTTACTTCTTCAACGTATATTTCAATAACTAATTCAAAGAAATGCGTAATTTCGATTAATCCATCTAATTTCCAGCGATATATGTCGTAATAACTCCGCCATGATTACATATGGAATTTATGGATTGAAATTAGTTATGTACAGTACACATGTTTTGCCAAAATAAAAAAAAAACAATGACAAAAAAAGGACAAGCATTTAACCATTAAAACAGCGTGGTTATCCATGTTAAAATATTTGACATCATAACAAAAGCATGGTTATATTGTTTAATGTTTGTATATGAGCACCAAACATGCTGGAAACTTTACGAAAGTATCTACTATTTCCGAATAATCCTTAAATTGAGAGGCATTTGCGGCCATTTCAGAGGCCTATGTATATTTCAAAATTTTCGCGGACTCTCCTAGCAGGCCCGCGGTTCCATGAGGCCCAGCAATACGAAAAACGCTCTGCGGTCCCTGCTAAAAAGTTGGTTGAGGCAGCTTGAAAAGCAGTCATCTGACTCATCTATATATGTAGGTAAAAACCTTCTCTGGGATAGATTCATCAAAAATTGACCAGTAATGTTCTATTTTCTCACATAAAATTGAAAAATTAAACGAAACGTACCTGTAAGTTGAAGTTTGATGCGGATTCTACCGACTAGTCATACCGGAACGAAGGGGTCACATGGAGATCACGCAAGATAGTCAACCTTCAGTCTTCAACGCATCACAAAACCACACTGTTAATGGGTCACTATTGCTGCCAATATAGACTGTCCAGAAATTCCAGTTTTTGGACTGATTTATTATAGAATTTTGCAAATGTGGCTTCTCTTGACCAATCTGCTGCTGCCAGTATTGTGTCAATTGGTACATCTGCTGCTTTAGCAGCTGATATAGATGCAGCACGACCACTATAAGGTTTAAATCTTTGAACATCAATTCCAGACTGAGCCATAATACACTTAATCCAACCACTCAAAGTATCCACTGTGACTGGCTTGAATGGTTTTTGAAAACTAATCAACAGTCGGGATTCTTTACCACGTTTTCCCTTTGTCATATCCAGGTACTTAATCAGAAGTGCTCTTGTGCATAGGCCCATTTTTTGTGGATAGACTGGTACCTCAATTCGTGCGTGGATAGGCTGGCATCTCAGATGTTTTCTGGGCTTAGTTTGAACTGAAAGTGCCATCCTTTTAGGGCCTAACAAATTTAGTTGAAAGGAACCCCCTTTTTTAAAGAACGTTGGATTTCATAGTCAATAGCTTCATTATCAGAGGGACTAGTATAGAACTGCCTTGGGGCAACAAATTGTTCTGGATTAGCAGAAAACTCAATTTTTACCCCTTGTATGGCATTAAGTAGCCATCTATCACTGGTGATTTTACACCAGGCATCAATATACTTAGCCAGAGGATCCGGACCTGCAATATTGTCACACACTACTAATGTGTCAGGACATGTTCTCATTTTTTTCCTCACCTGATTTGTACAATGTCCTGTTGCTTTCACTGTGCTTGGTTCTTCCTCCCCCTCTCTTTTCCGCTGGAAGCTCTGGAGGCGAAACTTACCACGCTCGTTTTTTGAGTGATGGTATGAATAGTCCCGAGAATGTGATCCTTTATATGATTTATGACCATAGTTTCGCTGGCTTTTGCCAGCTAATATCTGACCAACCCTGTTTGTAGTTGATATATCTTGTAGTGTTTTAGGTAAATCATCACCAAATAATTCTGTAGTGCATTGGGACATGTTCGGCACATAATTGCTGGTACTGCTCATTTAGGTCAGGTCTGATCAATTCCCAGCGCCATTGATTTAGCTCACGATTGGCTTGGACTACGAATGCAATGGCATCCATGGACTGAATAACAGCGGCATCAGCTGTGTCACTCCGCGCTTTAGATACTATGGGAGTCGAATCCTTTAGATTAAGGAGACTCTCCGGAGCTTTCAGACGAGCTATCGTCGTCTGAGGACGAAGGGCTTGCTTTTTGTTTTCGAGACCGCGTTGGCGCCAAATTGCTTTGTAAGGAGGCAAGGCTGGATTGTAACGTTTTTCCAAGGCTTTGTAACGAGTTTTTCATAAAATTCTCCATGCCTCGCTTAGCCTTTAGTGTGGTATTAGAGACCTCTGTCGAGTCTTCATCGTCTAGTATAGCCTAGCCTCCTCGTTTTCGCTTAATATGTCTTGGACTTCTTGTTGTGGTTCATCCATAATCATGGGCCCACTACATCCTTGAGAGATTTCTCCCTTTTCCGAGATATTTCGTTATATCTGTGCCCTAGATATGGTATTTCAACAGATAATGTATTTCGTAAAAATCTAAAAACGGAGAGAAAACGTCGTTCCCCAAAAAAATATTTGTAAGTAAAGGGCAAAATTGTTTCACCAACTGATTGACTCACCAACTGAAGGTTGGCTATCTCACGTGATCTCCATGGGACTCCTTGTGATAGGTTATGACAAGGAGGTAGAATTATTTTGGTAGTTAATTAATATTAAATTTACATGGTGATTTTTAAACGAAATTGGCCTGGAAAAGCGCAGCACAAAACGACCGCTCATTCTATTTTACAAAAAGTGTATTTCTTTGGCTTTCATACACTTCTAAAGGTTTTGATGGGACCCTCTTCAGTAGCCCTCATTAAGGTTCTCATTTATGAACGTCGGTTCGTCGGTTGTTTTCGAGTGTTTTAGAAAATGTATTCGTATTTTTCATCGTTCGGAGTCTTGTTCTCACCGTCCGAGAAAAAGTATTTCTAATATAGCTCAAAATATTGAAATTCAGCTGCAAGCTTTAGATAAGAGCAACATGTCATTTTCTAGAGCATGATCTTCTTATACATGCAAGTATTGCAGGATATGTTAAATGTACAACATACACGTACATGTCTTAAGGCCCATTTACACTATGCGATTTGTCGTATGCGATTCGTATCCTGGCGTATTTGCATGAACATATGAACACACGTATATATACAAATGTGACATATTAAATTCTAACCTGAACAAAATTAAATGAAGATTGTGGCATAGGCACTCTTTTACATTCGTCAGAATGATAATTGCACACAATTTATTGTGTAGTCTAAATATAGGCCTTTAAACAATTTTGATGTAATTTTAACGTAATTTTGATGCCAAATAATAAACTTGGCCGTAGCAATATATTTTAGCTATACTGCAAACGTAAAACACATACTACGTAGCTGTATAATTACTTTTTAGCTAAATAAATCAGCAATCTTGTGCACGTTGCATTCTTGGACCAGGAACTGGTCCCTAACCGCTGCTAATCTTGTTGTTGTTAGGGGGCGACGCTCTTTAAAAAAACCCTAAGGCTCTATCATTACTTGTTTGATAGGAATGAAATTTGGCACAATTATTCTAAGCATTATTCCGCATCGATTGACGGAGTTCGAATTTTTACTTTTGACCTTTGAAGCAAGTTACAAGCAATTCTTGATATATTTGCAGCAAATAATATATACATATCATTAATATTCAGCCTATATACAGGGTGAGTAAAAAAAACGGACACCTTTGAAATTCAAATTAGCCGGATAGCGCCTGTAATGTGACAGAAGTTGCTTAAAATATTTCATAGGTATACAAAGCATATCATATTAATTAACCCAAAACATGAAGTTTGTTCCCATTGGGAGTTAAAATGCATTCTAAGCTCTGTAAATACAAAAGAACAGTTTTATCAAATCGTTTTTGTTGATTGTATATGGGAATTTTCATATTCCAGCCATAAGTCCACAGCTAATTTGAATTTCAAAGGCGTCAGTTTTTTTTGACTCACCCTGTATAAGTAAACGGAAACGATTAGAAATACATTGTCCTCTCCATTGATATAAATACAATGCAGTTCAGAAATTAAACTCGGTTACGCAGTTTCTGGTCCCTATAGTACGATCGTACTTGTTATACATACAGTAACTGCCAAATATCTCGAGTTTAATGTAGAACTTGCTGCGAAATTAATGCATACTTTAAGATCGTGCATTAAAACATAAAATTCTGTTCGGAAGCGAACGGCAACCGCGATCGTATTTTTCCCCTTGCGGTCGTCTGCGGTTTCTATCCGTCGACCGCAACCGAACCGCGACGGCACCGCAACCGCTAGCCGCAGACGAACCGCAACCGCAGCGTTAGGTTATTTTTGGACAGTTTTGGATATACTTGACAGCGTTAAATTTTTATTTTACGTAAGGATTCGTTTTACGACTGTTAAGGTGGCTCCCTACTCTTATTAGCTTATAGAGCGTTCTCGTTAGAGCGAGGCTCACTATTTTATTATTTTGTATAGATCCGGATTACAAAATTCAACAATAAAATCACCCTAACATAATTGAGACGATAAAAAAAATGAAAAAAACTCCGCAATTGTACTTTTTTTTAGTTTTCATCATGGATATTTTTACACTTTTTCTTTACTCAATATATTTATTTTCTCTCAGTCGGTCAAAGTCTTTTTAAAATTTCATGGTCAATTTGTAATATCATAAGCAAAACAAACGTCTAAAAATTTAGAGAAACCGGTAGGGAAAGTTTTTTAGATGCTCTCAATTTGTATGTTCTGAAAAAGTGTTTCCTAGAATTTTCTGAGACTGAGGTAGGTTGAAAAAGGTGACGTTCAAGTTTCGTGCGCACAAAATAAAAAAAATCACCGAAGGAAAATCCTTCAGCCAAAGTTTTAAATGGCTGGAAGTTAGGAAAAATGTAGAATTTTTCTTCGACACGATCGGCTCTGCGCATATACAGGGTGTATAAAAAAAAAGTAGACAATTGTTTAAATCTTAATTCATTATCATAGGTTGAAAGTTTGGGTAATGTTTTATTAACTATCAAAGTTCCAGACAATTTGGTGTACATTAAATCCGCCGGGCGGCCTCTCGAACTTGGACTTTTTTACTATTTTTGGCCTTTCCCACATACTTTTTGCACCTCACAAATGATTTCACGCATGATAAATGTAAAATATCAATAATGCATGAATTATTACCGCGTGAAACGAAAAGTATGGAGTACATAGGTACTAATACGTATAAAGTACGGATTTAATGTACACCAAATTGTCTTATTGAACTTTGATAGTTTATAAAACATTACCAAACTTTCAACCTATGATAATGAATTAAGATTTAAACCGTCCATTTTTGTGCGCGAGGGTTGTTTTAGGTGGTGTTTGAAAATAATCATTCCTACACGTCCATATAATTTTATTTTATTTAATCTGAGTGTTAAAGTGGTCAAGAGACCCTAAAATACCTATATGAACACACGTTCTTCAGACATTTTGCGAAATTTTCAGTTTATGGACATTTTAACAATTGTCTACTTTTTTGATACACCCTGTATACGGGCATTTTTTGGCCAATATTTAACGATAAAGGGAGCCGTTTGTTTCCAGTCGCGAATATTACACAAGTGTCTAAACGAGAAGAGAGAGGAATCCTATTCTATATACAGTATATATTATTAAATGAATATAAGAATTAAGATATATAGACATTTCCTCTTTTTAAACAATGTAGCAGAAGACATAAGGTTGTTAGCTATATGTTTTCATACGTTTATAACCCATATAGCTATATGTATGTTAAGTTCTGTTTCAGCGTCAATTACTTTGAAGACAGTATACCTGTACTTCAGATAGCTCATTTTTCTTATAGGTATGAACAAATCTGCATGTTCAATAATGCAGATGTGAAGACAACAAATAACACGCAGAATCTGTCGATGTATAAGTTATGTACTGCAGTAGATACAAAATGAGATTATAATTATATAAGATTATATAATATATAGCTACCTTATCCTTTCTTAGCTCTACAGAAAAAGCTAATAATGCAGCCGATCAGATCCAACAGTTCCAAAATAGTCAGTAAGCTGGCACCAAGGCAGAGTCCCATTGTCCCGCCAAATTCGGCTGAAAGTAACAGAATAAAACCTTAAGTGCAGGATATATGAGAAAGGAAAGCAAACGAAGTTTTAGAATAGAAAATAATTTGTTATAGATATATATCAGATCATAAAGCCCCCGAATTTGTTTTCTGTTTAATTTTATATAGTCTGGTCTGTATACGATCATTTATCATATTCATATATTTATCATATAATAATTATATTTATGATATATAACACGTCGACAAGGTATAAGCCACTAACTTATATATAACGATATGTCATGGAACGATTTGACTAATGATTGTATAAATAAAAGCGAAATATGTAGGACCTAGGCTCCATATAAGATCACTTCCTGCATGAAGATCTGATGCTCGTATCTCCGCCTCAGTCGTGGATGTCAAGGAATTGAACAATACTCCCTTTCGTTAAACAATGTCTAGAATGACTAGTTGTGCACCTGCAGACGGCGCCCGCATACACCACATAGGATGCAATATGTAGTAGTTCTTAAAGTATGAAGTGTGTTACAACGTTCCAACTAGTACTTGTGATCCACAGCAAACATTACATGGTGTGTCAAAAAAGCACGTTTTGTACGTGTAGGTGTGCTTCTATTTTTATCAGCCAGGCATTTTGTGTTCTTAAGCACACCTTTCTGGTGTTATGTATTCATTTATTCCAAATTACTTTTTTAATCGCAATATGTTTACTCTTACAATATATTCACAACAATTTTTTTGTAACACACCTAATTAACTGACACGCTTTTCTGTAACACTTTTTAAAGGTGTGTTAAAATAACACACCTTGCGCGTGTTATACAACGTATATGTTGTATATGTAGAACGCACAAGGAGTGCTACATTACGTGTGTTAGAATGCGCAAAGTGTGTACAAGTATAGTGATTGGCATTTCCAAAATTAATGAAATTTTAAAAATTAAAAAAAACATTACCCACAAAACTTTCCCATGGATATGCTGCAACTTCTTCAACTTCCAGGTAACTCAAGTCGTTGAAATATATAGAGATTTCAAGAATGTTATCACTAAAGGCAAGGAAATATACTCCTTTTTAGTAATGCATGTAAGAGAATCCTACGAGTAGCAGTTTAATAATGACACACAATGGCGTATCCAGCGTGACGATTTTTCCCGTTATGTAAATTTCGAGTTATTATTGTTTTGACACAGTGAATGAACACCAAAATATTGACATAGCGGGACAAATCGTCAGTCGCGCTACGCTACTGATGACACATTCTATGGCATAACCATTTAATTATATATGCATAAAATATTTTAGCGCAAGAAGCAGTTTAAGGCCAATTATAGAGCAAACACAACGACAAGAGTATATACAGAAGAGGGCTGGTGTCCTGCGTTCTTGGGATCGACTTTTTTAGTTTTTGTGTTTGATGGAAGGAGCCAAGTATTTTAGGGCGTATTTCACTTTCACTAAAAAGTATACTACTTGTAAAAGCATGCAACTTGTAAAAGCTGCAACGATAATTTTGAAATTTAAATTTCGGAAGCATAATTTCGGACCTCTATATGGAGCGCTGTCTATTGCAAATGAAATTACCCGATTAGGGATCTACAATTTTTTAAAAATTTGATTTCTTTAGATACGCGGGGGTAGATTTTGGAAGATACCGATCCATGAGGCACTCCATGATTAATGAAAGCTCTCCAGAGCCAGATAAACCAGGGGTGAATAATTCTGCTTGATATATAACTTTTAAACCGTACCATGAAGACATGGTAAGACATCGTACGAATGGTACGTTTTTCTTGTATATAGCTATAACGATATCATTCCAAAAATGTAGCTTATATATACGGTTAGTGAAAGTACCGGAATTGCTGATTACGGTAATTTTATAATCGTATATAACATACCGCACAAACTCTTGCCATTGAATCTTCTGTGAAGAATTAAGAAGTATCGAGTCGTCAGATTCCATGAATAGATCCTTAACCGAAGTCGGTTTTAAATATGCGTAGGACAAATCTGTGTCGTATGTGGACTTTTCACAAGACCCTTGACAAGTGCAGTTGTTGTTCACACCCAAATCAAAGAATTTAGCTGCAGAAATAAAACCTAATTGTTACACCCGGACTCAACAACAATCCATCGCTACGCAACACGTTTCACTAAAAAATCCCCTCATCGTAGGAGCGTGGAGAAAAAAGCGGCACGGGGAGGGTTAGTCATCGTTCGTAGCAGAGACAGAATAGAGGTCTAGCGGAATTCGTATATCTACCTCATAATATTGACCTAAATATGTATATTGTCTAATCTTAAACTGAAAGTCGTTGCTACACGTGGTTTCACGCTTATTGGCCATGAGGGAAAGCGATTTTAAGGCGACTAATTAAAAAGTTCAGTTCGTTGTATATATGTGTGCATATAGATTAAAAAAAACACATTGACGGTGTTTACAGGCCATAATTTAAGACTACCAATTGAGTCCAATTCCTTATGCCGTTATATGCTCCACGCATGCAGAGCATATAAGGGTTGAAAATTCGTCCAGAAACACTTCTTTTTGTCGAAGAATTATGGGGCGACCTTAAAAGTATGACGCGGCGATGTCAGAGACAAATGCAAACGGCGAATATCACGCGGTGGAAATCACAATAGGAAAACAAAACAATTGAGTTTATATATAGCACTTTGATTGTCAGAGATCCGAATGAATAAACCAAATATGTGAAGCTAGTTAGCATTTCCTATTACACAATTTTTTATGACCGCAAAACAAAGATGACTTTAGACTCTACAGGACAATCATGCTCTAAATATAGTAAGTGCATTATTTTTAGCATTCCCGGTTTCCTTATGCAGTGCTACTTTTTGCTGTTGCCGTTCACATTGCCATACTTGATCTTATAATCTTTTTAATTTACACTACATTCAATTCATATCAATTACATCCGTGCTCGGCCTTTGTATTGGTAGCCTGAACACTAATAAGATCGGGTACGAGTCTCAATTTTGGCCCTGCCGTGCCTCTAAATTGAGTGCAGTGTAAAAGGGTGCTATATAGTGTCTGTGATATGCTATACCGGCGAAAATTAAAAAAAAATTTAATGAAAATGCACATGCATATACAAAAACGACAAACCAGAAAAATTGGGGATATCACATGCAGGAGAAAAAATAAACGGAGCAAATATTTTCAAGTATATTTTCAAATAATGCTTTTTAATAAACTAAATTTACCTTCATACGCGAAGTAGCATTGACGCTTTTCCTCGTATAGCAGACAATATGTTGTGCCAAGAGCTATAAAACAATATGAAACGAAATCAACAAATTGGCTCTTTTTTCAGATTTAACATTATTATAAGACTATATTTAAATCGGTTCTTCATGAAAACAAAGAAAACTAGGTTGTGTAATTCAATTTCGCATGAAAAAACACACAAAAAAGTTAAATCGCCGTAAAATTTTCGAGATATTGGTTTATATTTGTAAAAAATTTATTTTGTAGAGTATATGTTAGTTTTTTTTCAAATAATCACTTTTCAGACAATTTGGTGCATTCTTCAGCGAACGTCCGAATTAAGTTTAAGGTTTGTTTTAAAGCGTTTTAAAGCTTTAAATCTGAAATGATTCTAGTGGTGACATATTTGAATGATTAACTAAATTCACAACTGTTCGCAGAGGTGAGGAATGATTATAACTAAATGAACAACGGTTTATTGTTTTTATGTATGTAATCTTACTGAATGCTTTCCGTCTTTTTTAAGCAATGCAATTCTTAGAAAAGGATGTTTAATATAAATGTAATATTCTCTACAGGTCTTATAAAAGTAATCTCTATTATAGAATAACATGTATATAACAGGACCTTAATGAAATCTTACGTTAATCAAACTTGTAACATCGCCTAGCTCAGTGTTACTCTCGCACTCAACAATCCATTGATTGCCTTCGTCTCATGCTTTTTTTAACTCTCGCAACATTCCGGCATGTTTGGATCAGGCCATCCAAACACGGAAACCATTAAGTAACTGTTCAATATAAATAACTTACTGGTTGGTGGAGGCATCAGACATTTGCAATGGTCGAAAATATACTGCTGTTTACATTTGCTCAAGCAATGTTCCTGTGAATACTTCAAACTTTTGTTGCAAGGCATTCCGTAAGGTGGACCTAAAGTTTTCACCTGTTATGAGGAAAAAATATGTGAAAAGTATGGTATACGCGGTGATGACGTCAACATCAATTGATACCTGACATGAGAATCAAAGATCAGGAAAGCAAAGCTCAAGGTCTTGGCTCGATATGAGCATCGTTTTCGCGTTATGGCTAATTTTCCCATTTCTGAGCATAACTGACAAAACTGTTGAACGTTCGTCGTCCACCGTCCACAACAAAGGACGGTGGAAGATCGTTAAGTAAGGTGGGGTGGGGGGCTAATATTCATATATTCACGTTCAGCATTGTTAATTTCTTTTGAAACTGATTGTTTTTCACGGTCTTCGAACATGTCGAATATATAAATATTAGCCCCCCCCCCTAACGATCTTCCGTCGTTTTTGATCCATGCATAATATAGAATTTGGACAACTTTGGATTCCGCTGTCGCAATATCTGCGTGCAATATCAAATTTCCGAGCGATATCAGCACCCTACCGGCGCTCGAGGACAAGAAGGGATATTTGTCCTAATTCGTGGACTTTTAAAATGGTCCGAAAATAAGAACGGCGTGAAGTTGGTAATTAAATTACCAGACAGGAAATAGGAACAAACCTTTTTCTTTGTGACTGATACTAGAGCTTTTCTTCCAGGCATCACGGCAAATCCATTTTCGTTTGTGGATATTGGTGCATGCTGGTCGTGTATAATGACCTTTACACCAACAGCAGGAGTGACAGGCAGATAATCTTCTGTCTGAACATTGAGCTTCAAAATTAGCCCATTTGACTCGCCAGGATTAGAAAAACGCTGTAATGAATGGTTTTCCTTCCCTAGTAAAAAATATTTGTAATCCGATTAGAAGAGTATTTTTTCACGCGTGCAGTAGTAAAATTGTTACTCTGAGTGTCTCTAGCGCTTTCTTCAGGAAAACATTACGATAACTACAATACTGGCGTACAGTGCTCTCCAAAAATAACTTAACAAAAACCATGGTTAACCAAGGTCAAACCCAGTGAATTCAAATAAGACTGGAACGTTAACTCTCTGAATTTCCCTCATTATTAAGTGAAGCCAAGATGGCCGATCATGAAGCCTTTCTTGTAGGTATTGATTCAGGCCTCTAGCGCGGAAGTTTCAAAGGTAAAATCATAATTGCCGTCATTTTACCTACGAAATTTCCGCGTGAAGGCGTAGATCATACCTAGAAGAAAGGCTTCGTATTCCACCATCTTGGCTTCAATTTTCTCGCAGAGCTAGCGTTCCAAACTTATTTCAGCCAGCGGTGCAGACGTTTCGAATTATAAAGGAACACACGCATATAAACGTCTGCGCATTTGAGCACCGTTAATGGCAAGTTCTTTGTCAAGTACTTCAGATTGGAATCGGCGTTGCCACCATGCAAAATATAAGATGTGATAGTTAAAATTAATTTCGTGGCGAAATTCATGCATTGAACTGATTGAAGCTAAGCAAAAGACTTCGGTAATTTAGCTACACAAGTAGGCAACGAGTTACAGAGTTTGTACTATAAGACCTTGTATACGGTCTTAAAATTAAGGTTATATATCGACAAAACCTCCGCCGAGTCAAAAGCAATGTGCCAGCGGTAGGGAAACTATTTGTGCCACGCCGTGAGTATTGCCCTCACTGTGTTTATGTTGTTGAGAAGGAGAGATTTTCTAGCGTGTTGTACTACAGAAATTTCGTCTTTTGGAATAGGTGCATGTCAAACTTAATAGAAGCCCAATAAAGATAATGCTCGGTTTAATAATTTTTCCGAAATTAATGCATAGAAGTCAACGATATCAAACGAAATAAAAGAGTGCCTGTTTTTATCATCAATTTTGCCGAACCATTCGATTATACGTTTTGTGTGTTTTTCCATTAGTTTCCGCCCGTCATGCAAAGACGCCCAGAGTATATTTTCGTTACCTGAGTTAAAGGTGTGGCATAGCCCCATTCTTTGAACAGTTGAGCTGAAGTTTGCTTCATTGCACGATCTTCCCTTCCAATTACACTCAACAAGCATTCCAGCTTCATTCATTTGATGGCCGCACTCAAGATAGAATCGCAGTGCGTCAGCGTCTGATGTACCAGAACTCTTTCTGTTCAGCTGATTACTTTTCGATGTGCCATTTTTGAAATATGCCATTGTTATTCTGTCACATTTGTCCACGTTTCTAAGTGGGTTGTAGTTACATATTGTTACCGCTGGAAACAACATGTCCGGCTGTGCAACTATCCTACTTTTAGATATTGTAGGATAATCGAAGTATTTTCCAAACAGTTTCACGGCGTTATAGGTGAGATAACCAAAGGCAGTTAAAATGAAAACAACCCAAACGAATTTCCTCATAGAAGTTCCGCCGTGGATTAAGTAATAAAAACCATGTAGCGTCGTTCGTTCTCCGTAATCTGAAAAAACTGCACGGACACCGTTGTCCTGATTTGTCGCATTACGCTCTGACATCGAATGGACTTGATTTTTGTCCGTCATCGCTGGGAGTTGGCCGAAAATGAGAAGCCTTTTCACGACGTGGCATTTAAACCTAAAAGCGTAATTAACGTACAGCTTGCTGTGTGAAATAAACACAATATTCTCGATAAATATTAAAAGATGCGAACCTTCGCACAATCGCAGTCACACTAATTGAAAATATCCATAAATCATTAATATCAAGTAATTGCGTTTTTTGTTATTTTATATTAATAACGCATATAATAAATATATTCCGTTAATAAAAAGTCGTAATTAAACTGTTGCAGACTAATAAAAGTAGTTTTTTAATATTGTGACAATCGCAGTATTAACCTCTCTGATCATCTGTTAATTCTAGAACAATAAATAAAAGCTTGCGACTGTTTTATATACGTTATGTATTGCAGGTAAAGGACATATTTACTAGTCGAAACAACAGCTTTTTTATTTAGACGCATAGATCTGTGGTTCAAATTTTCTTTCATTGTGATGTTTAAGACCGTGTCCAAACGTATCCGGATATTTTTAAAAACGGAGGATTTTTTCTCCGTTTTAAAAAAAATTCGTGTTCACACAAAGCGTATTCGAATCGTTTTGCCCGTCCACACGAAGACACCAAAACGAAGGAAATTTGATAGCGCCAGGCGTAGAGCATGCGCATCTCCAAGTAATATGAGCGCTTCCAAAGGAGCGCAGGGCTCGAATGCCAATAATTTGTGCGCGCCTAGATAACAACTATATTAATTTGGCTGAATTTAAAAATAATTCCGCGTATTTGCTTTCGGTTAGCTTTATGCTCGGTCTTTCTTGAATTAAAATGAGTAAATGACCAAATCGTCGTGGTCTAGCTGGTGAGACGGAAAGCATCATCATATTCATTCCCTTGAAATCGGAAAAAAGCATGGAGACGCTTTGCTGGCAGTACTGAATACTATATACATGTATAAACTTAAAAAAAATGCAATCCATTTCGAAGAAAATGTAAAGGTGGTTTTCTTTCTCTTTTTAATTACAGAATTTTTAAATATTTGGTATAATAAATACTTTAATTATGCAACATAGCATGGCCTCCGTTTTTAATCACCGGACGACATAATCATAGCCGGATGATTTTTAAAAAGATCGTGTCACTCATGTATGTGTATTAGTATATATGTGTATAATATGTACTCATGTGTGTCGTCTCATGGAGACGAAAAGTCATAGAATAAGCGCGATGACACAAAGATATAGCACTAGCAAATCAACGTATTTTGCATTCATCTAGCTATATATAACGAAATCGAGTTAATAGAGTCCTTTTCAAAGCTCTTATAATTTACTCAAAGGTGTAATTTACTGAAGGAACTAACGTAAAAGAAATAGTCGTCCACGTTCTAACTTTTTTATATCTATACTACAATCTAAAACCCTGGGGCCGGTTGTATCAAGCCCGTTTAGCTTAACACGGTGGTTATAAGAAAAATAGAAAGGTGGCTGCCATTTTATTCAACAAGCGAACTAAATGTTTCTGACGTTGAATACAAAGATACTGTTTACAACTACATATTCAGTGCATAATATTCAAGTTGACTCATTGAAAAGAGTTGTAAGAATGTTATATAATTTTGACTTATCCACCGTTTAAGCTAAACGGGCTTACAACCGGCCGCTGCTCAGCATCTATTAGTTTTATATTGCCAAAGCTTCATGTAGCATAATTATAAGTATGAACGAGCAAAGAGACTGGACCGAAAAGGCAACCAAAAAGGCAACCTCGTACCCAGGGTCTTTACGAAAAGGCTTCTTGTTGAGTTTTGCTAGATTGTATTTTTGTATGATGTCAAGTAGAAGAATCCATATCTATCCGGTGTAGTTACTAATTTGAGTAACATTAAATATGTAACATTGGCGACGAGGATCTTGAATACCTAAATTATGGAAATGTCTTTAAAAAAGTCATGAAAATTACTTTTTAAGGAATCTTGCTTGAATGAGAGTAAGCGATGTAAGAATTTTCGTTCGCTATTAAAGAAAAACTACTTACTATTCGAAGGTTTTGCATAATATATTCATTATTATAGAGAACAAAACAATAATAGAACAATGAAACTATAGAATAAGACAATCTAAAACTTTTGTTTGCTCGGAGTAGAACCCATGCAAATTAATAAAAATGTTCGTTTAATTATTGCGTGCTTTATACGTTTCTCAAAAAATATTAAGGATCGATATGAGAGACAGGATAATCCGTAATGTTGGGGTAGTCAACCACTTTATTCAATTTTTGTCATAAAACGTTGCTAGAACAGAAACGCGTTCACTGATGCCGTCAGTGTTCAATAAAACGATCGAAGTTGACTGTGTAAAACCTGAAGTTAATTTGATCACAAAAGAGTGCATGCATGGTTCTTGTGTTAATTTGCCTCGAGAACTACCTTTTCAATGGGGGTATTTCTGAACCTTTGATTTCCATTTTTTACCTGATAAATATATCAACGTTACTCTATAAAACCATGACCAGCCAACAATTAGGATATCTTGCGAGTCAAAATATTGTATATATATATATATATATATATATATATATATATATATATATATATATATATATATATATATATATATATATATATATATATGCGTAGTAAAGTATTGTATTTCATTCTGTCTGAAGGTGACTTTGAAATAAAGATGTCCTGTTTGTTCGGAATTTGTTTTTTACGTTACTCTTCCCGTACAACTTCTATTCAAGAGACAGGAAAACAATTCAAGAGCGCCATATGAGTGATAAGTTGCATGCACGACATCAAGTGTTATTTAATTAAAATATGCTTCTCATATAAAGTATCTTTCTTCTACTCATCTACATAAAGAACCTGGACTTCCTAAACCACTTCGATCATATGGCAGGAAGATCATGATGTTATCTGAAGCATATAATAATATTATATGTATAAAAGATTCATTATATTATAATTTCAACATAAAAATATAGGAAGATTAGCAGCGAAGTTAAAGTCACGACATATCCTACATAAAAGGTGGTTTATCGCGTATAACAAATTCAGTTTCGAATTCACTCGCCTTGATATAAGAGAAGAAAATCTCAGTATGGCGTCTATCGTGACCGGTTTACTTACCTCAACTGTGGGAGTGTTATGGCATAAAGCCCGTATTACCGCTGCAGCTAAATTGCAAAACGGCGATGTTACCGATGCGAGAATACGGCAGATAATCGTGCCACCATTAACGGACTTGAGTACCAAGCTTAACGATCTTTTGCGCCAAGAGCTTAACAGCAGTTACATTCTTCTAAACGAGGGCGCGAATTTATTGAATGATTGCATTGCCAATTCAGATCTGGAGCATCACGCTGTCCGCAGTAAAATTCAGCACAGTCACGACGAAAACTCGAAATTGTTGGGCGGTTTCGATTCTGAAATCTTGAATGAGGCATTGCAATTTTCCTATGTCATGGAGAAACTGACCGAGAGCTCGCATGAAACACTTGAAAGAGCTAAGAAACGATTCGAGCAAGCTCGCCTGGCGGCAACTAAAGCTTTCGGTTTGGAAACGCTAAGTATTGAAGAAAAACTATTCGTAGCGAAACTGCGTGTCGCTTCGGAGTTGCTAGAATGTCTTGCGAGTCCTTCAGGAGCTGTGCCTGGGTGTTTGTCCTTTCTAGAAATGCTGCATCGTTTACCTGCAATTCAAAATATATTCAATGTGCATCTTGATGGTGGCATCAAGTCGAAAATATATAGAGCCGAACGGGAGGAGAACGTGAAATCGGTGATGTTGATTAATCATGCTTTATTTCAGTATGCTTTGAAATTCAGCTCGAAGCATTCATCTACAGTGCTCACCTGGCCTACTATAGAGCTTCGCGATCACCTTTTTTGCCCAATATTACGATGGCAGGAGATTGCAGAGAAGATATCCTCAGGCAATGAGTTGACGCATCAGCCGAACGGACTTTTACTCGTGGACGCAATCGATTCGCCAAAATCGGCAGTGAACATTCACGGCGAAATTTTCGTTGAAGATCGCCTGAGTTTCAACAACATCAAGGTAATTTCAAGAGCAGGAGAGAGCAAGTCTGTTAAATTACCTGGCCTCAAGGAAGACGAAGTTCTAGTTAAAGATATTAAAGCAATAGCCTGCGGTAACCATAACGATGTTTATGTTGTTAGATGGCTTCGTAAACTCACGAAAAATGGCGCTTTTGTAAAAAGTTACGTGTTGAATGTATTCGATATGAATTTTAATGTCAAATGCGACCGCAAATTGGATTTTATCGACGCCGAGACCGAGCACCACGCCACTATGATTGCTGTAAACGTCAACGATAACATTATCCTGATAAAGTACAAGGATCCTTATGTGTACATTTGTGACAAAAGTGGAATGTTAAAGCATTTATTTGAACGAGACAGCTCTCCGATATGTCTTCCTTCCAACTTGAGTATTTCCGCTGCTAATGCAGAATTTATGATATTATCAGCCCTTGGTAAAACAATCTCAATGTACACAGAAGAAGGAAACTTGAAGTCGACTTTCAAGATACCGCCGGGTCACGAAGTTCTTGGTATGGCATTTCATTTGCAATCGTCCTAACTATGAAGAAAGTTTCCTACTTTCTTCTGCAATACTCTACGGCAGGGGAACTGGAGACAAAGTTTCTTTGTAACAGGAACGAAAATGAATGGCGGCCATCTATCACATCTCACCCAAGTGGTCCGATTGCTATTGTAAGAGAGAGAAATATAATTTTTATTTAAAGAACGCTTTTGACGATTTATGTACAGCAATGAGTATGCTCAAATTCATATGGTTTTCGCCTTCTTGAATAAAAAATATATAAACATGAGTGTTATCGTACCTATCGTTAGCTGGAAAAGGCGGACGCGGACCCGCGGGTACGGACAAACGGACATGGAAAACGCAGATATATACTTGTATGTATATAATACTTTAAATGTTAATGATAAGGCAAAGGTTGTTTAATGAAGTAAGTTTTTTAGGAGATCTCTATTTCTTGTTTTAAAACATAAGATTTGATTACGCGTGTACATATTGTGTAAATTTGTTTAATATTTTAAACCATATATACTTCAATTCACGTTTTGCATAGACTTAAGGCCCACACAGACCGGACGCGATTTGGCAACGCGGCGCGATTTTTCAAAGTTTTTGATTTTTCAAAAGCAAATAAATTTTAACCTGTCATAATATTCTTGAAGATTACTTAGCGATAATACATTTTGACTGCTCTGGCGTCTGTAGATTCCAAATTTTGCTTCCAAAAATTAATTTATGTGCTTCTGAAAACTGAAAATTCGCGTCGCGTTGCCGCATCGCGTTCGGTCTGTGTCGACCTTTAGCCCAGTCGAACACACAATGCAAGTTATGCCGGAATCAACGACTTTTACTGCTACATTCTAAACTGAAACTTTGATAAGAAACAACGAAATGGTATCCCAAAATCAACCTCGCAGCCAGGGTCGTTATTACACGCGTCCAAGTCCGGGGAATTGGTTGATAACGTGCTTCTGAAATCTGACAAAATTATGAAGCTGAGAATAAGCCGCAATGAGCCCCATTAGCATCGAAACTACAGCTTGTTTGTTCGTTAAAAAGGGTTTTATTACCGCGAGCACAAGTGTGACCGGGCTTGAAACATTACCTCATTACTCCGGCGTCATTTTTTTTAGTTTTCGTCATCGCAAGTGTGTTTTGACGCGAAATATACTAGTGTTTGAAAAGTGTATTTGACCGTATTTACTACGTCACAGTTTTGTGTCCCAAGAGTTGTGGTGCACAGCTCGAAATCTTTAGCTAATTTTCCGATGTGCGATTTGATTTCGCTCGCATGCATGATACGGCAATTCCTCCAAGAGGAAGAAATAAACCGTTCTTTTGATGCTGTTCGATTAAGTTTAGATTTAATTGGGGTAAGAATATATTCAACAGATGTAGATTTTGGTCCTATTTTAATAATATTGCTGCTATTTCGCCGTTTAACAAGATGTTATCGGATATGGGCGCGTTGACACGTCGCAATTTGCACATGCATGGGATTGAAGATTTAATATAAGCCCGAATTCCAAAGTGTACGTATCATGCGGTTTATTAACATTTTCGAACAATTAAACTTCTATACTTTTTAAAGTACGATGTGCTTCTGAATTTCGCGATCGAATAACAGTTAGGTATATTTGAACTGTATGGTTTATGTTCCGAAGCTTTATATTGAAGACTGGCACGTGCACGGCACGCCGGAGTTAACGCCAGAACAGGCGTCTTGTTGTTTTTAAATTTATCCGGATAAGCCGTTCACGCGTATCCGCTAAGCCGACGTTTTCAAATGTATTTACTATAACAGTATAAATGTTGATCTGTTTTAAAATTTATTCGGATACGTGTGGACGGAGGCTTAGTTCAATGGTTTTGCAAACAAGTCTCGTTTCCATTACGTGCACAGAGTTGTGGTTACTAAGCTAAGACAGCTCGACATTTCATCTCCTCTATATGGTAAAGTGCTAGTAGTGCTGGTTTGAATCGGTTTATTATTCTTGATATCGCGGGTTGGAAATGGCAGAAAGCGTAAAGATATTCGATACCACAGACGATGTCAAATTTACTGAAAGCAATCGGTCTAAACCGCTGAAAATACTGGCTGTTGTAATCGTCCTTCTGATTATTTTGGTTGTAATATTCCTGGCATTGTTTGTAAACGAAAGGAATCGCTATAATGATTGCAAAGCCAAGAGCAACGGTGATATTAGCCAAGGTACGTATGCACTGCACGAAAGAAATGTATATAAACGGCCTTCACGTATTCTTTGAACGGTCTAACCCAAAATGTACATCTATATATAGCAAATATAGTAGCTCTAGAAATAAGCCGTGTTTTATCCGAAACGCATGCATTACAGACCTAGAACGATTGCGATAAGATAAACATTCCATTGCAAATATGTACGCAATTTGAGACACTATGCTGTTGGCATTCAGTTGTGCACTAGTGATGCACTAAACGAAGAGGTTATGTTCTAAAAAAATCAAAGTGGTTGATCAGAATTTCCAGCGTGTTGATGAATTACTGGCTGAATGAAGAAATTGCAAAGCCTTAACATAACTGAAGCCCCAGAAGGAGACTCAATATAAGAAATAATCTGAGCACTAATATTTGAATTCATTTTTAGCAATATATACTTGTTTGGATTCTGCGATAGACGTATTGTGAACTACTCACAGACTTGCAGCACATCGTATTTTAAAAAAGAAAAAAGTTCGTTTAAATTTGATATTTGCATGTATAGGGCTCCATGCATGCATCGACGTTGGATTTCGTGCTAATACCAGACAACAGTAGTAGGCAGCAAAATTCACATGGAAATCCTCTTAAAATTCAGATATAAACTTTTCTTCAAACAGGCTGCATAGTATTACGAAGAACTGCATTACAATTTTGATACAATTTTGTATACTATTGGTTCGCCACAGTTGCCATTGGTTCGTTTTAACGTGCATGCATGGGTATCATGTTATTCGATTACAAACGATCTCCATGCAGTTAGCGTCGCGTCGCATGTCCGGGCAAACCCTGCAGTGACATATTAGTAAATATGTAGTCCCAGTCTTTGCTGCAAAACAAAGTCAAAATAGGTCAATAGGAGTTGTCCTATTATGTTGGTATTGAAGATCGACGGGAAAAATAATTAAGCTTAGATACAAATCTTATGTATGGTATACGTGGTAGGATGTGAGCTATAGTAGCTAATGTCTGCTTTGGTAGAAATTGAACGTTTCATCTCAATCATAGGGCAATTCCCATGTGTTTGAGTGTTTCTGTGTCTATATTTGCCAAGACCTTTGACCAACATACGTACAAATGCATACCAACATTCGTATGCACCAACACATTGACACAAATACCGTGCATGAATCTCATATCACAGCTGTGGGACTCGATTTGTTCAGCTCAGGAGCGTAATTATCCGTTTAGGCAAATTGATCCAATCTTATAATTTATTTTAACAATTTAAGCCAAACGTGTGTTATCAGCAGGGGCCGCGGAAGACCGTTAAGGTGGGAGGAGGGGGCAAACAATTGTGTAAATGAAGCAATCTGATTGGCTGAGAAGCGTTTCAAGAAGCCTTTCAGAAGCTGTGAAAAATGTAAACAAAATGACAAAACTAAAGCAAGGTACGGCTAAAATATGTGAAAACCTTTCTGGCAAAGGCTAAAATAAAAATATATTCCCGAAAAACGTCTTGGTTTGGATTTTTTACGCCTTTTTTCGCCAGTCAATACGTTGTTTTTTAATCGATTTGCCGTGATTTAGTTGCTATGGTAACAGTATTTGCCAATTCATTGGCTATTTCCCGACTAGGATATCCTAGCTTATAAAGAGTTGTTGTCGTATTTAAAAAATTCTAATTTCCGAGGCCCATCGTTATCAGCATACCTCGAGCCCTGACCAGTGAAATTGCAACGGGAAATTGAAAATGAGCACTACTTTCAAAGGTTTGCCGGCAACAAAACCAAATATTTATATTTGATATATTATGCCGGTGCGTAAAAACATAAAACTAAAAAACTGAAAAATAAGCTACAATTAATTGGTAGTTTAACTTTGTTAGAATACCTTTCCCCCTACATTTTCGAAGAATTAAGGCGAAAAGACTGGGCACGACTATTATAATTTCCCGCCGGAGGTAGCATCCCAGTTCTTTTTAGTTCAATGGTTTTTGCAAACGAGCCCGCTTACTTCTATGACGTGTGTACAGAGTTTCGCTTAGTAAGCTAGGACGGTTTGACGTTTAAACACTAGTTAACCTAGTTTGACCCTGTTTACATTCGTTGAAATGGCTGAAAGCATAAAGGCATTTGATACGACAGAAGATGTCAAATTTACTGAAAGCAATCGTTCTAAACCGCTGAAAATACTGGCTGTTGTGGTCGTCCTACTTATTATTTTAGTGGTAATATTCCTGGCATTGTTTGTCAACGAAAGGAATCGGTATAATGATTGCAAAACAAAGGGCAATCGTGATATTAGCCAAGGTACGTACGCACTGCACGGAAGCAAATATATATGGTACACGGACGAATCATATTATTAGTCGGTTTTTCATTAGATATCAAGTGAAAATACATGTACGCAATTTGAGACACCATGCTGTTGGTATACAGTTGTGCAGTTATGCATACTCAACGAAGAGCTTATGTTTTAAAAACAATCAAATGGTTTATCGGAATTTCCAGCGAGTTCATGAATTAGCTACCGGCTGAACGAAGAAATCGTAAAGCCTTGTAAGTTAATAACTGAAACCTGAGAAGGAGACTCAATCTATTATTGCCATCACAAACATTTATACATATATAGGGCCACCCTTGTCAATTGCAAAGCTTCTGCATGTGAATAAACATCAGTTCATGTTTATTCAGAAGCATAGCAAACCTAAAATTAATGTTTGGACATCAGCAAATCGAATTTAAAAAGAATAGGATGTTTAGGGCTTCTTCCACTTTGGATTTCGTGCCAATACCAATGTGCAGTAATGACAATGTAAATGAATCATGCTGTTTTAGCGTACGTTGTTTCTATTAGTGTTGTGTTAGTGTATATACGACGTGGAGCGAAGCCATGCATCAACGACGACGCTGTAGAAAGCGACACTATATTATAAAACTAGAATTACAAATTGTAAGTGAAATGCTCCGAGTAAATACACGTAGTGCCTTATCAAACACACTTTATGGATGTGAGCAAGTATGTCTGCTATGGTAGAATTAAAAAGTTTCTCCTCAGTCATATAGTCGGCTCTAATTTCCATTTGTGTCGTAATTCCCAGCTAGGGAACTCGATGCCTCCTTGACTCGAAAGAAATTCGAAAGACGACAAAAGGGGGGGGGGGGGGGTAACAGCCAGGAGAGAAATATGCATATAGAGGCAGAAAAGAGAAATATCTAAAGTTGAAAGCGAATTTGAACATGAAAAAGCAAATACCTATAAGAGGAACGGATATCGAAGTAGCGAGGAAATTAAATATTTTACAAAAATTAAACAGGCTTCGAAACGTACATTCCGCCAAAATCAAAGAATTCAGACCAAACGAAGATTATCTGTATTAAGTCGGATAAGATAAGGGAAAAGCAGATCTCATCACCAACCGCTGGGATTATATAACTCAAGAATGCTTAGCATTCTTGACGAGATACATCAAAGTTCGACCGACCTGATTTGAAGTATTCCAATAACTATAAAAAAGCCACCCGCTAAAAAACGAAAGACGCTGCAAGCATGCGTCCGGGATAACAGAATATGATTAACAAAATTAAGTAGAATGACATAATCATTATTTTAGCGTTCAAGTGAAGGAGTCAGTCCTACTCGTTCACGACCAGGTTAGATGTATGGTTTACCTAAAGTCTATAAACCTTTTTCCACTTTTTCAATACCTAACATTTGTGCTATATAGACAGACAAAATTTGCTGTATTCCTTATTCCTCCTTAGAGTCCTTTCCTTCTTCCACTAACTCTTTTACAATTTAAAATACTTTCACTTATTTCAAGGAATTACAGTAGGTAAGATCAAAGGCTAATGTTGTCATGGCTAGGTTTGACGTGAATTTTCTCTTTTTTGTTCCCTCGATGTATTGTGTATGTTAAATATTTTCTCAATTTTGTTTGATGCGAACTAACGTCTAAAATGATTATCCTTGTCTTTCGGAACTGCAATTCAAACGTTGTGATAATGTACACAGCGTGCCAGAATTTTATGCAAATAGATTTTCTGTTGTAACTTCGTAGTTTTGAAAGAAAAATAATGAAAATTAGTACGCTAAATGGCAACACAGATATTCAGCGTGTCACCTCTATATGCAAGATGGGAAGTGAAGGTGCTTAGCGAGAAGCGCCGGAAAAGTTCAAAATAACCCAAAGGCTTCATAATAAAGTATCCAGCTGCCTCGTAAGTAGCTAAAGAATTGGGCCGTAACGACGTAACCATCGCACCATTAAAAGAATTGCCATTAACCCCGCTCATTGAAATAGACATTCAAACAAGGGGAAATCGAGCGATGAATCAAATCAAGAGAGATGTCCATCCGCGTTCCTAATGTGCCAAAATCAACACGTTGGCGTATCCTAAGCAATATTGAAATACGTCGAAAGCTGGAGGTTCACCCTCTTTTAAAGAATATCCACAAGACGAAGATGATGCATTGGGTAAGGTGAATTTTAAAAATGTTCTGTTCACCGATGAGTGTCGTTGGACCTGATGGATGAAGAAGAGGGTGGTTCTGAAAGGAGAGTCCACGTAGTTACGTCATCAGGAGTCAGCTTTGGGGGTGACATGTTGTGGGCAGGAATCGTTACTGGTTAGACCATTCAGAGTCGCAGAAGAAGACCTCGTCCCATGGCACAAAAAGAAGACTTTGACATTCCGATAATGATAATGCACCATCTCATGCTGCAAGGCAACCGCTGATCGCGGTTGTTTACTACACGCCAAAAAACGATCAGGTTGATCCAATATTGACATGAACAGGATGGAACAATGTTGTGCTGCCAACATTGTTCAGAGTTGTTATCAACATTGAACAATATTTTTGTTGATTGCTTGTGGTTTACACCATGTAATCACACCGTGAGCTCGGGCCATCATCCGAGAAAAGTTTATTTATAAACAAACTATATATGTGCGCAAGCATATCACGCAACAAAGTCACGCAATTATAAACGGTTAAAATTAAGAAGAGACAAAGGTTCAACTCGTTACACCCAATTCTGCATCAATAATGTCAAAGGCTTCACTTGCAATAATAGTTTAATATTTTGCATATATAGTTAAATATAGTATTATAGTTAAATATATAGTTTAATATTAATATTTAATAACAGTTTAATATTTTGCAATCAAATGTGCATTGAATGTTAGTCATATTCGTCAGCTATACGCACACAAATTTCTGAACACAGGATATTTTTCTCTTTGACTGGAATCGAAAGAAACGTTGTTTGTTTACATCCATGCAACAAAATATAATATTTTACGCTCAAAATATAAAAAACTTTCCAGTATAGTGTTTTTCTAATATATATCAAAAATTCCTGTTATAACTTGAATGACTTTATTCTCCAAATAGACTTAATTTTGCAATTTTCTTTTCAAAGGTAATGGAACCATTGCTCCCACTAAAATCCTCACCACAGTGTTGCCTACAAGCGGACCCAAAAATAACACTGGTCTGGGTCCCTGGACAAACCTTCGCCTCCCATCCTTCTTCAAACCTCATCACTATGAACTTGAACTCCTCGTTGATCTAAAGATGTTATTATTCAGTGGAAATGTGATTATCAATGTTACCTTGTCGCAGGAAACTCCCTACATGTATCTACATACTAATAAATTGAATATCTCTGCTTCAAAATTGAAGAAAGATGGTAAGTATGAAATTAGACATTGATTATGAAGAAAAATGCGCATATATAACAATTTTTACTGATGCATTTTGACCATAAGCTTGCTTCGTGGTCAATATAAATATACCAGTAATAAAAAATTAATATGGCACGAAACCTTTATATAAACTTTGAGAATTGCTTATATTTATTTGCGAATTTACAGGAAACGAAATAAAAATCAAGAGACAATTTTGGTACGAGAAGAATCAATTTTATGTGATGGAAGCAAAACAGAACTTAACTTCAGGCATCTATTTCATTGAGATGGAGTTTATCGGCAAATTGGATAACGATCTCGTCGGGCTTTATAGAAGTACTTACAAAAATCAGAACAACACTGAAATGTACGAAAATGCCTTAACATTCTCTATAATTACAGATCTCGCTAAAATTTTTTCAGAGCATGTTGGCCTCTTTAACTTCACGAAGGCATCTCGCCAGACACAGCTTTCTGACCAGCACACTCTAACGAAACATTTAATTTTAGATGATTTGATAGCATTAAAATCAGCAATTTGTCCAAAAATGCATAAATTATGATTATTCAAAATTCAAAACGTACAGTTTTATGCGTTTGTAAATCCTACCAATTGAATGCTTCTCTACGAAAAAAAAATCACCAATGGCTATTTTGGTCTATTAGACGAGCAATACGCAAGATTTGCACGCTTTGTACCACCTACGCATTTGCATTATTTACTCTTCCTCGTTAGAAGCTTGCCAACTTTTGAAGGCTGTTATCCCATCACTTTAAAACATTTCGCACATTAACTTTGGAACTTTATTATCTTAATTTTCGTATAGTACCATTGCGGCAACTCAATTTCAACCAACGGATGCAAGAAAAGTGTTTCCATGTTTCGATGAGCCGGCACTAAAGGCAACATTCAACGTGACAATGGTCCGACCGAAAAATATGATCTCCATATCAAGTATGCCTCAGATTAGAAGTGAACCAAGAGGTGACAACATGGTTGCTGATTACTATGAGAACACTGTCATAATGCCAACATATCTATTGGCCTTTATTGTCTGCGATTTCGTCAAAATGACCAATTATGCAGGAAGGCAGGCTAAAACGTCGGTAGGTTGAAACCCAGTGAGCATGCAAGCGTTCTGGATAACTATGTTATGGGAGTTTCCCCATATATGTAACTTGATGCAAATAGATTTGACAATTACGTATGACTGACCTCCACATGAGACATACGTATCGTAAACAACGAAATTGCGTAATTATGTTATGAATATAATATAGTATTTTCATATGCACCATATTAATATTACAATTATACTTATTTAAAGAGAACCTACGTAAAAGTACGGCATGTATGCAGTAGCAAAGCCTCTAAACGGACTTATTTTCCAAAGTTGTTTCCCATGTAATTTGTAAATGCATTTCCAACATATTAGCTCTCGACGATTTCCATGGCTTGTTTTTAGTTTTTTGTGTTTATACTTGCCAATATACCATCTTGGTTTAATATAAATGGTAAACTGTTTTCACATACATGCATTCATGTAAATGTATACCATAGGTTTCAAGGTGCTGCTAAAAATACTTTTTGTATTCTTTATCTCTTAGTCGAACTTATGTCACCACTATCTTTTCCGGGATTTTTTAGATGAGTTACTACGCAACAAGAGGACAACTCGAACAAGTGAAATACGCTATGGATATTGGAGGGAAATTGCTTGATCACTTCGAAAAGTATTTTAACATTTCGTACCCTTTGCCAAAAGCAGGTTTGTCACTGAATCTGATATTACAGTTAGCTACAACGAACTTTGCATAATCGAGTCCATTTGAAGTTAGGAAGTTCATTCCGCATGTTCTAGCAAACAAATCCAATAAAAATTGCATACAGTAATTACCAATTTTCCCACCCAATTAACAGTTTCAAAATACGGTTGGGAGGTCAAGCGTGTAACGTTTGTTAACACCGACTATAAATTTGTGTTTTACCCAATGTATTGCAGTCTAGCTAGCTACACATTTTACCGTTGCAATATAATATTATTAAAATATGTAGATATGATTGCAATACCTGATTTTGAGGCTGGGGCCATGGAGAACTGGGGACTAATTATATACCGTGAGACAGTGATGTTGTTCAAGGAGGGCTACTCATCCGAGAAGAACAAAGAGGGAATTGCCAAAACAATTGCCCACGAACTTGGACATATGGTATGTCTATAATCCCCGAGCCGGTGCAAAGCACCGTGCGAGGGTACTAATTCCGCTTGGATATTTACACCCACGATGTGCAAATGCGAAATCAAAGTCGCCCCCCATTATGCAATGGACCTCACTCCATGGACGGTCTTTTACGCTATGCGCATGCGCTAGTGTGAACTACTTAGCTCTTGATTGTTTGGTCAAGACAAGATATATCACCTTGTAAAACATGTCACACCGTCATTTTGAGGGTATTTCTTTGCTAATCCTGCGACTGTAACATCATGTTATGGCGACATTTATAATTTTATGGGTGTATGATACAGTGGCATCGCTAGCATCGATAAGTGGGGTCATTTGGGTGGACATATTCATATATTCATTCATATATTATATTTGAAAACAAATGAATGATGTGAAACACAAATATATGAATATTTCCTCTGGTATGTTTCCTCTGGTATATTTTCCCACTGGTATGATGGTCAATTTGCTCATTAAATAGTTAGTTTGTTATGAAATATTGCTTTTTACATTATAATCGTTTAAGGCTACCAAAAACGGTGGCGTGAGAAAGGATAAGTTACTATTTCGTTATCGTCGCCCAATTCCGACGGCAAATAAAAGTGGGAGTAAAAGTTTCTAATAGAGCTCAAACCAACAAATTCTAAGATTTGTGTCCATGTTTTAAAAGTCCATGTTTTAAAAGTGCAGTCATGCAAGTCCAGTCCATAGTTTACAAGTCCAGTCCAGTCCAGTCCACGTTTTACAACATGCCTCGAGGCGCAACATAAAACTTCGGAAGTTGTATGAGCCGTCTGATGTTATATTTCATGGTTATTAATAATTAAAATAGTTTACCATAACACTGGCTATAGATTGATTCTTCGAAAATGTACGGCCGATGCGAGTTGCTATATGACTACATAAATTTTGTAACTATCATGTCACCATCCCTACGCTTAACTAATTTCGTTTAACCGAGGCGAGGGGTTGCTGCATGCATTTATCTCCAATAAAATTTTACTAACAAAAAATTGAAAACATAAGATAAATTTAATTTTCAAGCATTCGTCACTTAAAGTTTGAAGTGACAAGGTGATATTGCGATGAATTAAAAATTATTTTTATCTTAGTGGTTTGGTAACTTGGTTTCTCCGTTATGGTGGGATGATTTATGGCTAAATGAAGGGTTTGCAACGTATCTGGAGTATGTTGGGGTAGAAGGTATTCACCCTGAATGGAATTTGGTAAGATGAGCACCGTTTAAAACTGCTGAGAACAATTTCATTTGAAGCTAATCTTTTTGACAATATTTTCAGGACGAAATGTTTGTCAACTACGATATGAGTAGCGCTTTTGAACTAGACGCACTGGTAACGTCCCATCCAATATTGTTGGAAGTTAATTACCCGGATGAAATTAATCAAATCTTTGACCCTATTACCTACAAAAAGGTTTGTTGGTAGAGTATGGCCGATTGGAATCGCTCTGGGGGGCGGGGTCAATTAATTAACTATTCGTGACCTTACGTATAAGTTATATAGACGCATGAAACGAACCTAAATATAGCAGGTGGTAATTGTCAATGCTAATACTCTTATATATAGGGTTCTACAATCATAAGGATGTTGCAACATTTCTTGACGGAGGAAATCTTCAAGAACGGACTGATAGTAAGTTCACTGTTCTCTGTAAGCACAGTGAGACCCATTTTTTCCGTGCATTATTTAACTCAGAAAATCCAAAATTGCGTTTTTTTCTTTAGCAAATTTCTATTTTTTTTATTTTTATTTTTTTTTGTATAATGGTAGTTTGTGAGATCCCGCATGTAAACATTCATCAACTACAATACACGACTTTATCCAATGATTTATAACGGCTTTATCGATCCGTCAATTTCGCACAACGGTGCTTTTGTCGGGCGCTACAGTAAAAGCTGTATGCATTCTGATTAGTTACAGTATACTCTCTATCCATTCGCCAATATACAGACAAATCGTATCTTCAGTCAACGTGTTGACACTCATATATAGTCAGGAAAATATCGTTTGTTTACTAGTTTTTTTTTACTAAACAATTAGATTATGTGCTCGCCCTCGATTTCTACAAGTTCATAGTCTAAACAAGTTTATAATATTGTTAAAAAGGAAAGACAATAGATAGTGATTCTTTTGCTGTGCATGTAAATAGAAAAACCCGTTAAACTTAATTCTTTTATCCCAAACAAGAATTATCTCAATGCTCATAAATATGGGAATGCCAAGACAAAAGATTTATGGGACTACCTTACTATGGTAAGCAAAAACGTTAATATATATAGCTTTTCACGGTTTTCATTTAAAAACTGGTTACCGTCAAATAAGAATCATATCATATTTTTTCCTTATTCAGTTGTTCTCAAAGAATTTTTGTTTACAAAAATATTCCAGATTCGTTTAGTATAAAAATTGCAATGACGATTGTGCATGTTTAGTCATCTTTTTAGGATTCATTCAATCTCATTCTAATTGTTCAAAAATGCCGCATATTCTTTAAGCCCCTTTCATGCTATTTTGTCCTAGCAAGCTAAGCTCAACGATAAATAAATGTTATCGGAATTACTCTATAGACTATACGCCATACTCTTTACGCGTGGTGGATTTCGCGATCCGCTGAGAAAAACACTGTTGATAAAGATGTAAAAAGTAATTTGAAAATTATTTATATTACATGCATTTGTTAAAGGCAAGTAAAGCAGCTGGTAAATATATAGATGTAGCCGAAGTCATGGATACGTGGACATTACAAATGGGCTACCCTGTGGTTAGTGTGTCTGAAGTTGGGGGAGATATCATTTTGACGCAACAACGATTTTTGGCTGACCCGAATGCAAATCAAAGCAACACAAAATTTACCTCGAAATATGGGTAGGTAACACAACAAAGGCATGTTGGTATGATAAACATACATGTAGGCATGATAAATATATGTTATCCGAATTACGTCGAGGATTTACAAGGAGCGTTTTCCAGGTATAAATGGCATATCCCATTCACAATTGCAATATCAAAGAAGGGAGAGAACAGTGAAGTGGAAACTAATGGATTAGAAATTGTTTGGATGAACAGGACATCAGGTGATAATTTAGACAAATAAACAACAAGTCCGTACGCAAACACACAGTTTGTTTACATTTTGAAATTTTGTACAGTTTTTAAAATACGATGTGCCGTTTGAACACCATTTAGGTTCATCACACTTTTGAACGAATGTAAAATAGAGTTTTTGTTCATGTAGAAAGATTGAGAACATGCGAATTTTGGGCAATTTCTTCATCACAGGGTTCTCATATTGTCATGAGTGGGCCGATGCACATGCAGAAATTATGATTTCCGCTTTTTTATATATATAATATCGCTATATATAATTATCATAATTATTGCTATGATTGATTGGACCGACGCACCATAACTTGATTTTGCTTTTTTCTATGGTATCACTATAGTATATGCATGCACCAACATCATTTTAAAATTGGTTACCTCAGATTCATTGGACTAATTTTCCATTGGTTAGAATAACAAAAACTTTTTATCAAATAGAATTTATCATATAAGGACATGAGTCTTAGACACCAATTTTAAATTAGTTTTTTGGACAACAATGCTTCAGAATTGAATAAACTGAATAAAGAGAACTTCAATATGGACTTCAGTAACAAATGTTAAAATAAGTATTACTTTAGCGTGCATTGCAGTGTATTTTGAGGGCTAAAATTATAAATTTGCCGGGCTGAAATATATGGGCAGAAAAGAGAGTCAGCCCGCGAATATCAACTCTATTGTTATATAAATCTTTTTTTTTTCGTAGATAGGATCATCGTACCGAACATTCAATGGGATCCAAGCACGCAATGGGTAAAAGGAAATGTCGGTCAGACTGGATTTTATCGTGTGAATTATCCTGAGAAAAACTGGGAATTACTCGCCGAACAGTTACAGCGTAATAGTTCCGTAAGTTATTATCTAATAAGGCTACGCATCTTCTTCTAAAATACTAAATTTATTTATTATAACCAAATTGGTATAAATAGATACTAGGAATCGCATGCAGTAAAATGCCACCGATACTGGTTACAAACTACATATCGCACCGGGCTTCGCGTTTCGAGTCGTTGACTCGTTGGCTCGAGGAAATTGCAAGAACGATCATGATTCTATTGTCATTTAGGTTCTTTCGCCTGGTGACAAAGCGGGTTTACTCCGTGATGCGTTTGCCTTAGCAAAGTAAGATATGCATGGTGTCTAAAAAATTAAGTCTGGATTCATGCTTATATTTTAAAGTGTACTAATATTGGTCAATATTGAGTATACAGATTAAATTCCTGTTTTAAATGTCCCTTTTAATATTGATGCCAAATGAAATTTTCCTGTAGTGCTGGACTTCTACGGTTTAAATATGCTCTGAACTTGACAAGATATTTAAAAAAAGAAACGAACTTCATTTCCTGGGATGCAGGGTATTCAAGTCTGTCCTCCTTGAAGGATACTTTGCCAAAGTCTGGAAAAATTCATAATGGCTTGAGCGTAAGTGTGTAATTATAGCTGGAATACTTAAACGGAATTAATAATTCATAATTTTCATATTTCCTGAAAACTTACTGGTTGCACGAGTTTTTTTTTAGCAACGAACTGAGGAGCGAAGATAGAGTTCTATCAACACTAAATATCGCCTATTGATATACTAATATATAAGAGCGCCACATATTTTTAGCTTTGAAAAATATTTATTTACACAGAAATATTACAACATACGATTTGTCTCATAAAATTCCGTGATAAACCGAAGTTTTAGCCTTAGAGTGTTCTAATCTTTTACTTATCCTATCATGATCAGAAACTCATAAGTTGTTCATCGGCAATTACTAACATTATTTCCATTCGGGCATGAGACTTTGGGAATATATATTTTCCGCACAGAACTCCAAAACTGCGAGAAGAATTGGAGCCTAAAACTTTCGCACTTGCATATTTGCATTTGCATTTGCCGCGAATTGAGGCGCCATGCATGAACAAGGGGGGATTTCGTTTTAAACTAATCGGCATATTTGTTTACATTTTTAGGCAAAGCCAATCAGAGTGCCTAAATTTTTAATACTTCATATAAAATGATAAATAATGTACCTTTTTACCAGAAGTAGTCAAAGTTTATGCTTTCTGATTAGGTTACTGAAAATGTAAACAAACTTCCTGATTGAAGCCTGCAAGTGTGCTGATCAGAGAGAGCCAGCCCTGAGTAAACTAGAAAACGTTGTTTAGCAAACATTTCTTCCTGCAAGCCAAATGTTTCTCAATGTATCTCAGTATGGGTAGTCAAAAACATTAAAGACCAAGCAAATAAGGCGAGTATACAAAAATCAGCATTGTGTATTTCAGTCCCGTTATTGGTGCAGGCATGGCACCACTAAACAAAACATAAAATGTTCTTGCGTTATCATCACATACAGACATGCATAGCATGCATTCACTTTGAAAATATAGCCTTGAATCTTTAGTACAAGAAAACAACCTATAGGCATTGCAATTCACTCAAAAACAATACAAATGTAAATTAGGTACCTGGGAAAGCTGCGAACCGTTTCCTAATTAAACTTCACTGTCATTCCGACGAGAGCTGAAAACGGAAATATTTAAAGTTTAAAACACAACATTCGATAGTGATAAGCCAATGCAACAGTGATGACGAATTACTAGACTTGGTAAATTTCAACCAGTTGCTCTTCCCAACGAAAAATTTCTTGGAGAGATTAATATTGTGATAAAGCTGCTCTGAGCGATCAAAGGCGGATTTCTACAGGGTGAGTAAAAAAAAAGTCCCCCCTATTGAAATGAAGCCTTTGTTGATTTGAATGCATGATCAACGCAGTAGTGTGTAAATAGCATAGTTATTAGGTTGAGGCATTCAAATAAAGCGTCTTGCTTTCAATTCGGTTTATCATAATATTAAGGCAATCAGATTCTAACAAAGGCTTGATTTCAATAGAGGGGACTTTTTTCTGACTCACCCTGTATACTTACAGCGAAATCGTTCGCTAGCGAAATATTTGCATATGGAAATCCGCCTTAACGGAGCAAGCTACAAAAAATAGCTTCCTGGTTTGCTAGTCAAGGAACTATTTTGGGACTCAATCTAAAATGTATTCATTTTACATGATTTTTAACTAGCTAACTGATAAAACGTGGTGAATATAAGTTTTAATTCAGTAATATCATTAAGCAATTAATTAAATGTGTATCTCTTACAGAATTACCTTTTCCAATTGATCAAACCGAATTTTGAAAAACTCGGTTTCCATGAGAATGGAACACACTTAGACAAGTAAGTTTGTCGTTTTAAAAGACGGCTCTGTTACACGGTGCAATTACACGTTGCTTTTCTTGCAACTTGCAATGCAATTCTACTTAAAAGAGATGTAAATTTGGCAACTACCGAACTTTTTTCTTTATCACAATCCATGGCTTTTCTTACACTTACATTTTGAAGCCTTTTCACTAATTTACATCTCTTAAAAGTAGAATTGCATTACAAGTTGCAAGAAGAATTGCACCGTGTAACATGGCCTTTACTCCTATTTCTCCACTCATACTGATCCTGACCATTCCCCTCAGATTCTTGCGTATAGATGGAATCAATGCAGCCTGTGGCGTCGGTGATGAGCACTGTATGAAAAAGACAAAGGACTTGTTTGATAAGTGGATCAAGAATGAATCATAGTATGTTTATTAAAACACTGTGTTTTTTAATTTTCCTTAACTACTTCTGACGAATAAGGCTTTCAGCGTAGTGAGTGGTTCAGCCGGGCTGACGGAACAATGCGAAAGCAAAGGTCGCAGGTTTTCGTTCCAGTTAGGGCAAGTGAAATGACAGATGTAATGATAATTTTTAACTTATTTAATCCAAAACGTATTGGTAAAAACGTAGGCCCCGCGCGCAGGTGGAAAACCAGGTCGATATATTTATAAAAGTGAATTTCAAAATTTTATGTAAAATCTCATTTCATGAACTATACGTCATTGTAATTTTGCAAATACCTTTTATCAGTCCTGTACCGGCAGATTTGAGATCACCTGTATACTTATATGGTATATCTCAGAGTGGAGTAAAGGAGTGGGATATTACCTTCGAGAGAATGCAGAGAACAAACATAGCATCTGACCGACGTAATTTGATGTATGGCTTAGCAGGAACGCGTGAGCCTTGGATCCTCAACAGGTATATTCAGTATTCCTCAATAGCTTACGGTAACTACAATGATCATAAAACGTTACTAATTTGTAACAATGTGGTGATGATGAAAAGGGACGGTCAAGTGAGTCAAAGACGAAATCAGCCTTGGTCTTGCTTCAGCATCGTCCAATGTGTTCTTAGATTACCCAAAGCACATGTTTTTAGATATTTGCAGTATGCCATTGACGACACGAAAGTCAGAAACCAAGATACAAGTGGAGTCATTTCCGACATTGCAAACGCTAATCCAGTTGGGCGTAGTCTTGCTTGGAATTTTTTAAAGGAAGTGTGGCCGATCATAATTGAAAAGTATGAAAAATTGTAAACCCCAATGTTTTTCATAATTTCTTAAAGAGATAAGAAGAAAGTTTGTCAATACATACACCTGCGTAATGTGAGCCCTGTTTAGCGTACAGTGCAGCGAAAACCCTAAACATTATATTGGTCGTACTATTTCTGCAGATTTGGAGGAGGTTTCGATTTTTCGGTCATTGAAATGTTAAATGGCGTGGCATCTGCATTCAGTACACAATGGGAGCTTGAAGAAGTAAGACGATTATGAGTACCACTTAATATTTCAGTTACACGATTATAATCATCATCAGCATCATAACTCATGAGTCAACGAAATTAGAAATGATTATAACATGTTTTCTGGTAAAAAAGCAGGTTTATAGTATTTGAAGAGGTACATGTAATCAAAGGAAGCCATTTCAATAATCTAAAAGAACATTTCGTCACTATCACCACATTGGGAAGTAACATGAAATTGAATTGAAATTATCATTACGTCTACTTTAGAGGCAAAACCCGTAAGGACCTTCAAAAGTGTATGATGAAAAATAATTATATTGACATGAATCACATTACGTTAGCATGCAATTTGCTTTTACAATTGACATTGTATAACTTATATATTTTAATTACATTTTACAGTTAGAGAATTTCTTCGGGAAATATCCCCAGTCAGGCTCAGCAACACTATCCCGTGAGCAACTGCTTGAAAAAGTACGAGCAAACATTCAATGGAGAGCGAAGTATGAAAAACCCATTGAAGATTGGTTGGATGCCCTGTGAAGAAATATGCGTTCCACAGGGTGTATCAAAAAGCACAATAGTACTTCAAATTGTTTAGCTACAAAGTGAATATTTTCGTTGCCTTTTTTACATACCCTGTATTTAAAATGAATTTCAATTCGTAATTGTACTTGTCGTAATCTGTATCATTCTATAATTACAAAGGTTATTATAAAAATTCTGACCACTGATTGGTCGAGTGGTCTCGGATTATTTCGTGTTGTTATATAGGTGCTGTGTATTTTAAATGCATGCGATTGGTTCATTCGTAGTCACATGACTTTAAATAAATGCTACGTTTTCCGCCTGGGAAACAAGTAAAAAATTGTTGCCCGCTTCTTGTCATAACAAAGTAAAGTGTTTTTTTTAAATGAAATTGTTGTGTAACATGTATGTTTTTGTTCCTATATAACAAAACACTTAATGCACACTACCTCGGGAAATAGTGATTGTTTCAACATTCAGACTCTTGGGAAAACAAAACACACCATTTTCCTCGGGAGCATACATTAAGTGTATATTGTTATATAGGTGCTGTGTATTTTAAATGTGATTGGTTCATTCGTAGTCACGTGACTTTAAATAAATGCAATGTTTCCCGCCAGGGAAACAAGTGAAAAATTGTTGCCCGCATATTGTCATAACAAAGTTTTTTGAAATGAAATTGTCGTGTAACATGTATGTTTTTGTTCCTATATAACAAAACACTTAATGTTCACTACTCCTCGGGAAATGGTGAGTTTTGTTTTCCCTTAAGTCTGAATGTTTCCCTCGACTCAGACCCTTGGGAAAACAAAACTCACTATTTCCCTCAGGAGCATACATTAAGTGTATATTATTGCCTAATTTTCGAAAATGGCGGCAAGTTTTTTTTGTGACAGATGAAAAAAGCAATAATTAAAAAAAATGTTCTGCCTGAAACAACAAAAAAGTGGAAAAAATGGCATGATTGTTTTCGAGGTAAAGAACAAATGTGCATGGTGCTTACCTAAGTTTCGCATAAAACATCGTTTTATCTCATTCGCCGCAAAATTTTGTTACGTTTGTAAAAAATGTGTAAATAATAACCTTTGTAATTATATTAAAACAACTCTTCGGCTCAGGCTCGGTAAATATAACTAAATGTTAACCTCAACATCGTCTTGGTTTTAAATCAGCGATGTTCACCTCGCCTTCGAGTTAACGTTAGTTTGAAAAACATAATATTATTACAATTTTGTCAGTATATAGGCTCAAAGTGGATAGTTATATACTTAAGATGTATACTTAAGAATATTCATTGTCGAATTAACTATAAGCAGAGTTGGTTTTCAAAGTCTGTTCCGCCGTAAACATATATTACGGACAATCCTAAAGTCACAACGTCATTCGGAGAGCATATCTCTTCATGTTGCAATAAACTGTAAACCTGTATCCTAATTTGCTTTCTTCTTATATCGACAGTTATTAGTATGACACAGTCTATGCGGTGTGCAAAGCGTATATTTTCTTCCAGTTCACTGAGTGAACCAAACAGTGATATATATCTCAGAAAAAGCATTGATATCGATGGTTTCCAAGAGTGGTTTCACCGACTAGATTCACAAAGATTAACAATGATGAGATGGACAGATGGTGACAGCATGTCATTGCAAATTGCCACTAAATTGCTGTAATTCAAAAACCGGATCCTGGTTACTTGTTTCCCATCAAAAACACTGATACAGAGGGGTATCACTTTTGCTGACAACACTTTTCACATGTTTCGCACGTTTTAAAGATAATTCTTCCAGCAGTTGTTGGACTGATTCAATAGCAGAGGATATATTGTTTGTGACATTGATATGTGTGGTATTGTGTTAAATAAAGAAGAGTTGGCAAAGCCGCGCTTACTTTACCCTAATCATTTTGAGTGGTACTCAACTTCTAAATTTTTGCAGGAAATTATAGTTTTGCATTATACTTTTTGCCAGATGATTAAGTGGCGGGTGCGGGGAACAAGATTCTCACCACCCAGACTGAATTAAATTTATGTCCCTCAACGACACTTATATATGCGTTATTTTTGCATCGCATTTTCACCCATGCACTTATGCAGATAACAGTCTTTACTGGGATGTTCGAAGTCTGTGATGCATGGTTTTGTACCACTTTAGTTTCTCGTTATACTTACTGTTCACATTTGAACACAGGGTTTTCCATGCGTACGTGCCAAAAAAACGAAACTCATAACCAACTAGTACTTTGTACGTTTCTCCCCACATGTGCAGCTCTCTATAAGCTGTGTCGTTTTTGTCCAGCATTTTCAAATAAATGTTCTGTCAGCTCCTTTGGCGAAACAAAGTCATTAACATGAATGATTGAGTTCGGAGGTACACGAACATGCTCTATATAGTCTTCTTTGTAAGCGCCCATCACAACTGGGACAGCATAGTTATCAAAACCCTGCATCCACATTTTCTCTGAAATATAGTCGCGGCAGTTTTCAAATGCTAGATAAAACTTGTTAGTTTTAATTCTCTCGCAGCCTTTGTTAATGTAGTACCCTTCACATTTTAGTTTTTTTATCACCGCACTTTCCATAGACGTCGACCTCCATGTATTTTTGTCGCTCCTTTACGAACTGACCTCTTCTATTTTTTACATAACGGCAATTACTCAATAGTACAGCTGCAAGTTTGGTTTTATTTCGCACAATGCCGTCTATATCAGTCTCGTTTTTCTCAATCTCGCTTTTGTTCAGCTTCCAACCGTATATCATCGGGACATCAGCATCCGTACGATAAGTCATTGTCCAGTTAAAGTATATTTCCCCTTAAAATCGCTCATTTTGTAACCAACGGGACCTAAAATAGCTAGCATGAAACGACGATTCTACGTTAAAGTATATCCATCGTTGCGACAGTGAACGACTTTGCGGCATATATTTGAGGTGGCCGCCTAATCTTCTCACATCTATCACAACAAAATCACTCTCATTCAGTAGTGACCTATTTTTTGTTATGAGACAGTTGTCAACATAGTGATTAACTGGTTCTCCAAGTATTCGGCTGAAGTAGGTCGGACACCAGTTAAGAATTGTGAAGTTACGCTTGCCACACTTCGAAGATAGTCAAACAATGGTTTCATGGAAAGAGGGAGTGACAGAAATTGATTGGCCTGCACAGTCACAATACCTTAACCCTATTGAAAATCTGTGGGACAATGTCAAGAGGATAGTGCAAGAAAGGAATTAATTCATAAAGCGTCCATGATTTATGGGTTGCTGTAAAGACTGTCCATAGGATGAATTTCTTTTCACCGCTCAAGATTACCACCTTAACAAAAAGTATGCCACGCCGGTTAAGGCCGTCATCAATTAAAAGGCGAAAGGAGGGTCAACAAAATATTAATAGTTCATATAGCTTAGCATGTAATCTAGTCTATATTTATATTGTTAGAGGGACAGTTACGTTCATCATTGAGAGCATTTTAACTTGTTTTGAGCAGTTCTTTTTGACCGCCAGTGTATAAAGCTTACTTAATAAAATATTTAGGGCTGGCTATGCAGACAATTGTGTTACACAATTTTTGTTACAAAGGTGGCAAGAGATTCATGTTTATGGCCTACAAATTTTTGTTATTGCTTCAATTTCATTATCTCAAAATTTCACTGTAAACCTACGAATTCAAGATAAAAAAAAGGAATTCAGGATATCACTTCAAATTTCATTGCATAGCAAGGAATAAAATGTTAAATGTTTTACGTGTTATACGTGCTAAGCATAGCGAGTTAAACGATCTAATTTTGACAATTAATGCGAATTCGAAGTCGTGTTAATAATATTCGTTTATTTAAAAAATTGATTGTTTCCGCACCAACATAATAGCTGAGTAGCATTACACAGGGGCGTAACTAGAACGATAATTGGGGCCTTTTTAAGGGGGAGGGGTTGAATAATCATATATTCAGTTCTGCCCGACTGATTTCATTTGTAAGCTATTGAACTTACAAAATAAATCCGTAAGGCAGAACTGGATGGTTATAATATTATGAATATTCCCCTCGCCCAATTATTGTTCTAGTTACGGCACTGACTATATATAACTATATCATAACTATAACTATTTTAACTAGCTATATTTATAACTATATTATAACTATATTCAACTATATAACGCAACATTAAATATTCTCATGATCACAAAGGGTTACTTTCTTTTCGATCACAAAGAATCGCATATTAATTTTATGAAAATTTAATTAACTTTTCTTTTTTTTTATTAACTTAACAATCATATGATTGATGGTAAGGACAACAGAACGTTAGTTCCTATTTAAGTCCCACCAAACGTAACACTCGCCAAGTCTCTCTTGTGATGTCGAATCTGTTCGCGTCGCCATGCGCTTCGGTGGTCTCTGAATTATTAGAATGAAGCAGACTTTTCACTTTCAAGCTATTCGAGACCTTCGAAGTCTTGAATTTCTTTGCATCGTTTGTAACAGAACCATCAATTTATTCGCTACAAATAGATAGAGACAACCATATTGATTACACTCGTTGGCCATATTGAAATTGATACAAATGTTTGACACAAACGATTCGCAAAGCACTGCAATACAACTTACCCTCTTATAATTTCTTCTTTATACAACATCATAAGCTCTCGTGTGTTCATCTCCAAAAAAATCTTAAAATCGCCTTCACAATAAACATAATTTAAACTTGTAACAGACTCGAAGCACAGTTGTCACAGTAGAGAAGGAAATGTAAACACTAAACAGTGGTTTGTATTTCGTGCGCGTGGGTTTCACACCTCGCGACATTCTTATTGGTTAAAAGCGTATGACGTATCAGATCACTGACCTGTATGGCAGATATTCAAGTCTGTATGGCAGATATTCAAAAACAACCCACGTTAATCATTCTTATTACAAAAGTAAACCACAACGATCTGTAAATTCCCTTAAATCTATGTCTTATATAATGTTTAGAGTTTTTAATACTGATCAAAGCTGAAACGCAGGCCAAAGATAACAGGAATTTAAAGCAAAAAGTTAAATTTAAATGCAATGGAACAGCGTGAAATTTCCTGTGACTTGTGTAATTCCTCGTAAGGCTGACGCTTTTATCGACGCACTAAAATACTATAGGTAATAGATAAGGCCAATCAAGCATATTGTTAATAATTTAAAGGTGTGTTTTATAACACATCAAAAGATGTGTTTCTTGGATGGGTCAAGGTGTGCTGTCAAACACACCAAGGTGTGTTTTCAGTGAAAAGGTGTGTTACTTTACACACCTTAATGAGTAAAAGAAAAGG